TCACTCAAAAACACAAACATCTACCTCATAAGCCATATTTCCATGATGTACTTTTATGTGCATTTTGAATTAGAAAAAGTTAACTGAAAGAGCAAAATATGGGGGAAAAAAATATCAGGAATAAAAAAATTGAGGTAGTTTTTATATTAATGCACTGTCATGGCTAAAAACAACCCTTGCTGTTGTGCATAACGGTCACAGTGAACCATTTAAGAGCCCCTGTTGTAAGGAAACGCATGCAGTTCCTCCTTTCAAAGCTGATTTTCCCAACGTTAATTCAATTTATCACAAAATAATGAAGACAATGTAAGTGTCATAATCCACAGCAAATTAATCGTGGGCCACAATAATAAAATGGACGCGTCTTAAGGGATTGTAGCATAAAGACGCCAGTCTTGAATGTCAAGTCACTGGTGAATAAGTACGCCTACGTATAATTACACCATCAAGACAAAAGAACACTTCAAGTAACTGTGTGAAAAGGTTATTGAAAAGCATAAGTCAGGGGATGGTTACGAGAAGATTTCCAGCCACTGAGCATCCCGTTGGAGTTCAGTTGAGTCCTTCATTAAGAAATGGAAGGAATCTGCCTCGAGTGACCGTCTTTAAAAGCTGAGTGAAGAAAGAGAAGAGACTTGTGACTCCTCTAAAGAAGTTAGAAGCTTCAGAGACTGTGCATACAACAACTACTACCTGACTATAGTTCACCAGAAGGCCTGTGAGAAACTCAACACCCAGCTTTATTGCTGTGACACTAGATGCTATGTGAAGCATGGCGGTGGCAGCATCATGATGTGAGGACGCTCCTCAGCAGCAGGAGGCGTATAAAGGTAGAGGGTAAAATGTCCACAGCAAAGTATGAAGAACATATGGGAGACTATTCCAGCAAGGCAATGACCTGAAGCGTGTAAAAATATTCAGCTCGGTTCTGCTTTTGCATCAGTTCTCTGACGATGCTCATATTTTTACTGCTAAAGTTTTCCTATCCGTCTGTCCACTGATGTGTAGGCGCAGAGATGTTGCGTGTACCAAACATCGACCCTGCATTCATCAGCTGTACACACACACACTAATATTAGCTTTCCTTGTGCATCCAGGCAGAGGAAGGTTAATATAATTCCCAATAGGGTTTCTTCTGCTCTAAATCATCCTTTCCGATTTCCACGATTCTAAACGCTGCTAAAAGGTCAGGGAATTTCTCTCTCTGTATCTCCGTATCTTACCGAGTGCACCGAGCCAGACATTATACATTATACATAAGACTTTCTACAGCAGCAGCAGCAGCAGCAGCACTGCAGAGAGGAAGAGCTGAATCATTTCATAGCTTTGAACATTGTCACAGGAGCCAGTTTTGTTCCATTTATAGTGCAGCCGGTGAGATCCTTAATGATGGGTTATGTCATGGTTCGGATGTGACTAAGTGGTTTGACACTTGGGGATGCCAGAGACAGGTCAGCGGGTGCGAATGCCTTATACAACAAGCCATTTATATCAGTCTCATTATCAAGACCTGACAAACAAATGTCATTTCTTCAACAGCCTGGACCCATCTAACAATTCATCACCCACCTGTCAGCTGTTTCGGTGTCCGTGCGTGTGTTTGCTAAAGTGTTGTGTTTTGTATTTGCAGTACCCACACTTCCTGAAGAGGGACGCCAACAAGCTTCAGATCATGCTGCAGCGGCGGAAGCGATACAAGAACCGGACCATCCTGGGCTACAAGACGCTGGCTCTGGGGCTCATCAACATGGCCGAGGTAAGACTGTTTTTGTCCTAACTGTGTCAACGCTGGAAAGCAACAGCAATGATGAGCCTTAGAAAAGCTGTGATGTGAAGTTTAAACCAAACACCTTCCTCTGCAGTTCTGTTTTCTTGAAAGGCCTTTTAGAAGCCCGTGAGAACATAAGTGAACGTTGTGCTCTCGTAGCTTTTAGGAGGAACCAGTGAAGTTTTCCTGTTAAGAAAAAGAGACAATTGGGCTTAAATTCATCATGTCTTTTGTGTATTATAGATAGAAATTATCTGATTAAAGTTTCTTGAATCAGATTTTGAAAAATCCCATTTTCAGATGCTCTGTGATCCAGCTGTTTGTGTGACCCCCAATTTTCTCTTTATCTATTTGTTACTGCAAGTGGCGCTGAAATCATTCGTCCTTTATTCAATAATTTAATCAACAGTTCAGAAATCAACTGTTCCTATGAAAAACTAAACTCATGAATAAATTGCCATTGTGGTGGCTGTTTCTCACAATTTGTGGGAAGTTTCAGTACAATTCATCGATTGACCCTCTAAACCTCTAAACTCTGGTGAGTTTGGAAGCTGTTTTATTTTTTAAAATTGGCCAAAATTGCTCCGTTTATCAGAGGGAGATCCTGTTAGAACAGAAAGAGCTGTGGGAATTTCCAGTAGACCTTGAGCCAATCATGTGTAACTTAGATTTTATCAGGAATATTAACATATTAATATATATACATACATATATACATATACATATTAATACATATTAACCAAATCTTACATAAAACCTGTGATTTTTTTTTTCATTTATTTAAATTACTTTATTTGACTTTGCTAATTTTAACAAAAGTGCCATAAATATACAATTTGCAACAACCAGATTCTGTAAAAAAAAAAATTAAATTAAAAATTAAAAATAAATCTGTGCTTCCTTTTGCAAATGAGAAGCCTTTAGTGACTCAGCTGCAGCCAGTTCATTGGTTTTCAGTTGAACTGCAGGCTGTGCTACACATAGCAGATAGAAGACAAATATGTCAACATGATAATAAAAGTGTGAGTAGTACGATATCTACAGTGTGAAGGGAGACATTTGGTTTTCAGTATTGATGACCCCTGTGGACACAGATAGGCTTTTACATTTTCCTAAAATAAATAATGAAAGTAATTCATCTTTAATTTTGATGCTACATAGAAAACATTTTCAAGTTCTCTGCTTCTAGCCAGCATCGTGTTGTTTCCGTAAAGGTGCAGGAATTTCTATTGCAATCACTAATGAGCCCACAGGGATTACAAATGTGACAGGAGCGAAACATAAAAAAATATTGCTTCCCCTAGATTTACCAGAGAGAATCATCGTTAGAATATTCATTAATGAAAATAATTGCTTGCTGCAGCCCTGACTGATGGCGTGTGTGTGAACTCTGAGCGTTACCAGAAAACCTGGTTTTGTATAATTTAGTGCAGTTTATTGATCTCATGCAGAAGAGAACACAACTTTTGAGTAACATTTTAAAACAAAGTGTGTCTTTGAAACAAACAGCCAAGACCCTTTTAAATTACAGACTAATGAGGCAACATGTGGAAACAAATAACACTTTGTTTCCTGCTCTTCTTCAACAGTCTCTCGCTTTAGTCGCTTGTCTTCCTCAGAGCAGTGCGGAGCGCGACTCTGATGAATCTGAAGTAAATTAAAGTTCATTTTTTAATATCAGCCAGGCAAGTGGTTGAATCTTGAGTCGACTCATTAGTGGAGGGAAAGTTTCTCAGTCCAAATGTGTGTTTCCAGCACTGAGCTCCTCCACAGCAGCAGATGGAGGTTAAGCTGCATGTTTGAGGGCACGTCAGCTGTGAGCTGTCGAGTCAGCAGAGTCTCATCCTCCGCAACCAGACGAATGTCCCGGCGGATCTGGACCGTTGACCCTACAAACTACCGGTCACAGGCTCATTTCCCTAAACATGGAGCTTCTGCTCTCTCCTTAAATCCAATCTCAGCTCGGCTTCATTTCACAGCGTGTCCTCGCAAAGCGCTTTCTAACCTAATATCTAGCAGAATAATAGGGGTGGTCTTCTCTTGTCGCCGCTGCCTTTCATTTTCATGCACATCTATTCTTTCATATCCCTCCCTCATCATTTAGAAAATTAATTCACAGTGATGCCGCTCGAAACTTTATTCCAGGCTACCCTTCATTTAACCTTCATCTCAACTCAATTCAAGCGAGTGCACTTTCGAATCAGACGTCGGATTCCGATCTTTGGCCCAAAGTTCTCTTCCAAGTCGACATAAATGTCGCCATAAATCAAATGTCCAATTAAATTGTAGCCTCTTCTGCCAAAAGCTCCTCGCATTCTCTGCCTCTCACAATATGAATCTGTTTTAAGAGGGCTGAGATTTATGCTATGTGTGAGGACATGTGGACGCTCCTTGTGCTCTGTGAATTCCTGGTGACAGTTATTTACAGAATAAAACACTTTGAACAAACTGGCTCACCAGAAAATACTTTATGGAGAGAAATGCTCATAAATAGCTTAATCAAGAAGTGGGTTTGGTCTTTAAAAGTTAGCTGAGCATCTTATTCGGCGCAAATTGAACCAAATGCAACAGTTGAATGAGCTGATCAACCTTAAGTCAGACTGCAGCGCTTCAGCTGTTATTCTGCTGCCTGCTGGCTGCAGAAGAGCGTCCCAGCATGTAAAATAAAGTCAAATTTTATTCATGAAGCTCCTGCAACGGACAGGTTCACTGCAAAGTGCTTCACAAAGGGCAAAGGACACAAATGCAGACTCATCCGCACCAAAGGTTCAAACTCATTTCCTTCAGAGCCACAGTGAAAGTCCCCGCAGAAAGAGCCATGTTGGCATATTCTACCTAAAGCCCTGCGTGTGTCAGAAAAATAATGCGCTACAGGGCACACGCACGGGCCTCTCAGAGTCGCAAAGAAATGTCATTTTGATGGCATTGTGCTTCTTCTAATATGACAGGTAGTTTCCACTGACCCAGCAAGTTGGAGGAAAGAGGATGAACTGTTGAACCCGTTCAGATATTCCAAAAATGTTGTGACTGTAAAGACACAATCATCTTCATTTGTGGCACACAAACAAGTATTTTTATTGTCTAATACTTAGCTGATAAGTCGTATTTCCTCAGTATGTCTTTTAGCATCATATATGATAAAAACAAACAGTAGATCATCAGATTTAAGATGCTAAAGAGAACAAATATTTGGCGATTAAAGCCAGAAATGACTAATTTATTACAAGATAAGTTCCTGTGGTAAACACAGTGTGCATTTCAGGGAAGGTTAATCACCCTTAAAACTGCATTGTGATGCAAACGAACTAAGCAAATAACAAAAGTAACATTTATTTTGAACAGGAGATGCTTTAACATTGCATCAGCTTTTACTTTCATCCCAATAAGCACAATCTGTAGGAGCTGCATTCATCCCTTGCTAATGTCAGGAGGCTACCGGGTGAACTTTTCATTCAGTTTTTCTTTTTAAATGATTAACTGGAGCAGCTTGAGGGCTTCTGTCTACATGTCAGCCATGAATGTTTCATTTCATAAAACTATCACATAAAGATTGCAAATGTCACCTAAACTAAATGTGAAATTACAACTTAATGCACTTTTTATGACCACCAATGTATTTAAAGTGGGATTCAGCGTGAGCATGTAGTCATTCTATCAGTGGGGGTAAAAAAAAGCACATCTCTGCTATTCAGTTAATCATCATCTGTTAACCCTGTGAAGCACAAAACCTGCCAGCTGGTAATTACAGGTAGGTTTATAAAATTGTTAAAATTACAGCATTTATCAGAGCCAGAAACGGTAAAAATAGAAAAAATCAACAGATTTTCAACTTTCTGACAGTTTTTAAACGAATTGTGTGTGATATGGAGTTCCATCAGGAAAATTAACAAACCCCCTGATTAATATCGTGATGTCTCATTAAAATCACTTATTGGACATGTTTTGTTTAAAAATAAAAAATCCATCAGATCCTGTAAAAACCTGATAAGCCTGTGATCTTCAGTTTAACTGAAAAGTCACGTTTGACTCAGCTGTGACAAAAATTCATGGATCATTCAGCTTAACTGCAGGTTGTGCCCACACAGAGTAAAGGTGGTGATAAGAGAGATTAAGAGGAGAGTAAAACATACTTGAGCAGTTCATATAAATGCAGCATGGCTCAAAAACAGTGTACAGAGGAGCAAGTTGGCAGCCAGTTGTTGGAGGACACATTGAGCATGGTGAATCAGCTTTGTGGAGCTGATGTGCAGAGCAAAAAAACAGAAGAAGCCTCGTTTGTAGAGGCTGCAAAAATGCAAATAGTTCAGTATCTTTGCACGTGGAGACTCGATTTTCTTCCAGTGTGTGTATCGCCTGTGAGATTTTTGAAATTATTGTAAAACATATAATCAAATAAATTAAAATCTAACTTTACATTTTGTATGATTTCTGCCTTTATAACTGTCTTACTGCACAAGAAACATTTCTGAGTTGTCTTTAGTTCCAGCCACTGTTGTGCTGTTTCCATAGAGGTGCAGAACTTTGTGTTACGGTGTAGCATGAGTCCACAGTGAATAAAAATGTGACAGGAGCCAAAAAACCACTCATTTGGGGTTCAGTCAGAGCATCTGAGGGGTCTGGTGGGGCTGTAAACGTCTGAGATATATGTAGGGATGAGACCATGAAGAGGTTTACAGACGGTTATTTCTATTTCTTCTCTGAAAAGTGAAAGTCTGGCTTCAAAGTGGTCCTTTAATCCACTTCCACTTGCAGGTTTTATGTGATGTCATGGATGCGGGGAGGCTGTTAAAAGATCTGATGCAACAACTGATATTATTTCAAGCAGCACCATGAAGTCACCTTTAAAGACGCGCTGTTTCTGCAAGATGTGAAAGTAAGGGAGGTTACATAGAAAGGCCAGAGTTTAGAATGCCTTTGTGGTTTATTGTGCTTTTACAATATTGAGAAATACAGACAGCAAGATTCATTTTAGTCAGACTTTCAAAAGGGGTGACATTGGTGTGATTTTATTTCTTTTTGAAATCAATAGCCATAACGATTGTAGTCAGCGATGCCCTCTGGTCCCTGTGTTCTCGCATTTCCTTTTAAAAAAACATTAAAATCAGGTTGCAGTGTCCGTTTTTTTATACTTAATTTTAACACATTTATTGCATTTTCCCAGCATGACTTAATGCATAAATCATTACTCCATTCAGCCCAACTTTTATTTTGCTGTTTCTCTCCCATCGAGAGTTTGAAAGTGAAGACAGTCTGGCTGACATGCTGTGTTTACCTTTGTGATAAAAGCATCCTTTAAGAAAGAATTCGCTCCATGTTGTTCAGCATGATGCATCCCTTCAGTCGTTGCAGTAGTTTAACTCTGCAAGCGCTTTTTAATAGATTTTTAAAAGCTGCGGCAGCATTTCAGAGAAGAACCTGCAGTAAATCCATCACCGGGTTTAGTGTCTTCATGAGGAAAATTGGCGAGATAAAAAAAAAAACACAAAACAAAACTATCAAATTACATCAGTGCGTCTCATTAAATATGCATATTGCGCCTTCGTGCTGTTTGTCGGATTTGCATAATTGTTTTTCTGGCTGGAAAATGGTTAAATTATCAGCTGCACGGAGCTTCACAGAGCTAGCAGGAGCATGAAACATCTGAAGTGAGTCAGCTGAACCTTTGCCAAGTGAATGGATGTGAAGCAGTAATGTGTCTCTGTGTAATGTGTGGCTGAGGCCGTCTCCGTAATAAGCTGCTCAGACTTCATTAACCGCCTGAGTGTGACCAGACTGCTGAGAGAGGCTGGATGTCGCTCAGTCAGATACACAAACGCACACAGGAGACGGCATGCTTTCTGCTGCAGAGACAAACGACCGTCTCACACGTTCACGGTCCCTCTGTCTGGCTTTGTTGATCCCTGATTGCCGTCTTTGTTCATTTCTCCCCCTCCCTCCTCTCCTTGTGTATCATCATTCACTCCTCTGCAGAGCCTTCCTTCTGATCTCTATCGCCTCTCATATCCTCCTCTAATGCTGTTTGAACGACGCGATGTCCAGCGTTCGTCCCGGCTGTGCACAAGAGAGCCACGACTGAAATAAGCTGATCCCTCGTCAACGTGTCTGTTCAAAGTTTATGCATCTGACTTGGACGTTCCTTCAGCGTTCTCGTTTTATTAGCATTCTGCTGTTTTGGCATTCACACGCATCTCATCTGGGAAAACAGTTGCTTGTTAGAGCATGACGGGGTTTTATTCAAATCGCATATGGGCACAAGTTTGGAGTCTGAGTCAGAAATTTAAAACAAAAGCAAAAAAAATGGTTGGAAATCTGCATCTTTCTGAATTACAGAAATCAAATAAACCCCTTTTCTATACATCCCACGGATGGTGAGCTGAAATGAGATTAATGAAACTTTAAATATGATTTTTTTTCTTGATTTTTAGAGCTACATCACGTCTGACAACAGCGTAACATTTATTTTTTATTTTTTCTTAAATTTGTGAAGAATGAGAATTAGTTTTTTTTTTTTAATTGTTTTTATTGTTGGACATCTTCTCCCTTTTCCCCTCCTTTTTCAATGTTTTTCTTTTTGACACAATCAGTGCTTTTGCTCATCATTAATATATATATATATTCCAGACAGTGACAATTTAAAAATGCCCTTTAGTGTGTATTACATGGTAAAATTATCACGTTTTTTTCAAAGGTTAAAATCCTAAAAATGTATGAATATTTAGCTTTTATTATCAGGACTGATGCTGGTTAAAATATATCTTGTGAAAGTGGAAAATAATAATATTTTATAAGATTTGTATGGCAATTTTTTTGATATTACTTGGCATTTTTGTCCTTAAGGAGGTCTCTGTATTTTTTTGTTTTTTATTTTTTTTAAATTTATTTGTTTAGTTTTTAAGTTGGTGCACAAGGCATTAAGTCATCAACAGAGCTACCTACACTTTACATGAAGCTACTGGATCTCTGCATAAACAAATGCAACTCATTCTAATCTTGTGTTCAACAAGTCTCTCTTTTTTTCTTTTTTCACCCCAATATTTTTATGGCACATTTTGGGATGGGGATTTTTGTCCTTAAAATCCTGAGTGTTTTTTTTGTTTGTTTGTTTTAATCTGACATTGCACAGAACAACACTAATGCATCAGAATCAGTGCTGCTGCTCATCTCTAAAGCATTTATCATATGGAAATGGTTTTTCATAGAAATCCACTGTGGTCTTATCAAACCAGCATTTAAAGGACTGAAATCATGAAAACAAACAGATGGATTCTTTTTGATGCAGACTTTTTTTGTCCTTAAAGATTCCAGTGTGTCTTCTTTAAACTGAAACACAGGAGTTCAAGTCATCACCGTTCAACTTCTTATGAAGTTGCAGACTCTCTGTGTGACCGGATTTAATGCAACTCCTTGTTTTTTCACTCCCTCAAGGTGATGCAGCACCCCAGCGAGGGCGCCCAGGTCCTGGGGCTCCACAGCCAGCTGAAGGACGCCTCGCTGCCCGTCGCTGAGGTCCGAGTTTACTCTCTGTCCAGCCAGCCCATCGATCACGAGGGACCCAAAGCAAAGATGTCTGGTGTGTACTCCACCTTATCACATCTCTCTCTCCATCATTTTGTCCCTGTTCTTTAGCTCTCCTTTCTGTGTCTCTCCAGATCGTTCCCCAGACATCGACAACTACTCTGAAGAGGAGGAAGAGAGCTACTCATCAGAACAGGAAGGCAGCGATGACCCCATTCATGGACAGGTGTGTCCGACTTCCTCTGGTCTGCTTCTCTCACTTTGCTTGCACAAACATTGCCTTCACATTTCTCCAAAAGTAGCTCTGTGCCCCTGAAAGAGTATTTTTCACGATATCCATGTAACATAAGTTATTATTGCACATCTAAAGCAACCACAGAGAAAGTCGGTCTGCGTCTGGCTGACTCTTTGCTCAAACTGAATCGGTTATTGGGTTTTGCCCCATTTTCGTCGTTTTTTTTTTTTTCCTTCGTCTCAGCTGCAGTGCTCGACTGAACAGGAGCCCAGTTCACAAACGAACTGGTGCGAGCATCAGCAGAATGCTCGTGGTTTCTGTATTGTGTTACCTTCTGCGCCGGATTATGAAAGAGAAAAAAGTGGCGGCTCTCGGGGGATGTGAGGGGAATCGGCGCCCATCGAGGCGAGAGATTGAAAGGAGCGAACAGACAGCAGACAGAGATAAGAAGGGAGCAACGAGGCTGAGGAGGCCAGATTGAAAAGGCTGAAAGGAGGGAGGACAAAGAGAGAAAAGGGTGATGAGACAGTTCAGGGGTGAGGAGGCTGACTGCAAGAGGGAAGCAGTGAGCTGAGAAAGGAGGGAGAGCAGAAGGTCAAAGCTGGGCTGAAGTCAGAAGCTCATTGAGGCTCGTGTTCTCGTAGTTGCAGACTTTTTCTGTTTCAGATGATAATGCCAAGGTAGTGGCTGAGATCTGAGACAGGGGATGACATTGTTAAATAGAAGACAGATGGGGAAATAAACAAACATGTTTTCTAACTGCAACGTAGCCAAACGCATTGGTGGAATCCGAGTGCAAAAATTGGACTTGAGGGATTCGGTGGATGATTAGCCAGCGAAGACGGCGAAGCTGTTTACTCACAGTGTTCAGGTGATTTGCCAAACTGGCTGTTGATTGATGATACGCCAGTTTCCTGTCTGGGACTTGACTTCTTAGGGGCTAACTTGAATTTTTTCCACATTTTGCCATCGTAAATGTAACTTACTAAGAATAACATGTGGTCACGTGTCACCATTCTAGTGTCAGTACATGTTAATTGTCTGGTAATAACTAGTCAGAACAAATGATGATGCATAATATATAACATTGAAGTACTACTTTTTATTTCATGGGCTACTTGGAATTTTTTGGTAAACAATAAAAAATGTAAATGAAAATAATAAATGCAGAATTTTAAATACTGATTGGTACATTGATTACCTTGATGCTGGGAGATAAATTAAGGCATTTGGGTCAGCACCACTGGGTCAGGACCATTTTAAAAGAATAAATAAAAATGTATGTCTCCACTAGTTATTGGATATTAAGCCTTTTTCTGATCATTTAAAAAAAAAAGTGGAAAATGATATTAATATATAAGATATTTATGGCAATTTTTGGTTCCATTTTTGTCCATAAGGATGTCTCTGTATTTTTTAATTTTTGTTTATCTATTTTTTAATTGGTGCACAAGGCATTAAGTCATCAACAGAGCTACTTACAACTTTAGATGAAGCTACTGGCTCTCTGCATAAACAAATGCAACTCATTCTAATCTTGTGTAAAACAAGTCTCCTCTCATTTTTTTCTTTTTTCTCCAAAATTTTTATTGCACTTTTTGGCATGGGGGTTTTTGTCCTTTAATAATAAATGCAAGATTTTTAGATACTGACTTGTACATTGATTACCTTGACAATGGGAGATACATTAAGGCATTTGGGTCAGCACTACTGGGTCAGGACCATTTTAAAAGAATAAATAAAACTGTATGTCTCCACTGATTATTGGTTAGTGGTATCATTTAAAAAAAAGAAAATAATCCAATCACATAAATTCATATAAAAATGCACTACTTTGGCTCCAATGCCTCTTCCAGTCTGTGGTCACAAACAACAGTGTACCTGTTTGTCATCTGCTTTATCATCTGACAGCCGTAACACTGATGACTTCAATGCAATTATATCTGAAAGATGCAGCGGCTGCACAATGACATCAAAAGATACTAAACTAGTTTTAAACAAACTGATAAATGAGAGTAAAGAGAGTATTTGTTGAGGACTTTTTTATTTTTTCTAAGCTGCAGATTTTAGCATTAGTGTGTATCTGCAGCGCTGAACGTGGGATGGATTACACAAATTACCAGGTGCAACACCGAAATGTGTTTTAATGGCTTTTGGACAACAAAAACAGAACCTAATCCGGGCTAATCCTTTAACCCCGCAACACTCACTAGCCCAAATGTAAGCCAAGTGAAAATTCTGCCGGTGTGTTTTAAATCAAATTTGGCGAGCTGTAAATCATTTGGAAGCACAAAGCCTCACAATGTGGTGTTAACCAAGATACCAGGAACACAGCAGCCGTTGTTCTTTACGTCGTAGGAAGTGAATACACACAGATTTTTCCTTTTTTGTGCTGGACATTAATTCCACCATAAAACTGGGCGTACAGTTTCTGTAACAACCTTAAACTAACCTTTAAAACACCATTTTTCATACTTTTTCTCCTCTTTCTCTCATCCTTGGTGTGTCTGCTGCACCTCTCTCCCTCCGTTTGACCTTTTTCTGTCTCTTTCTCTCAGTATCTGTACGACGAAGAAGAGGAGGTGAGGAAGAAGAAGCCGAGGCGCAAGCTCCCTTCCAACGCTGCCATCACCAGAGTAAGAAAAAAGGCCGTCCTTGCCTCATATCACTCATTCATCCCTTCTTTTTTTTCCCCTCTTTGTTTTTTTTTCTATTTACCTGCTTGTTTGCTAAACAAGTAGTGACAAACCTGCTTCGTGCAAAAGGCCCTTTCAAGTAAATTTGATTTGACTGGACTCAGCAACCCTCCCACTGTGCTTCCTTCTTGCCTCACCTCATTCAACCTCTCCTCCTTCTCAGCCCTCCCTCTCTTCCCCCTCCATCCATCCCTCCCTCTCTCTTTCTCTTCTCTCTCTCCCACATTGTTGATTTATCTATAAATCCATTTTCTGTCTCTCATTCTCGATACATGCAATTTAGACCAATTTCCTGGGAGGAAAACATCGAGACGTGTCACCACAAGCACCCGCAATCACACTAACCACATCCTGAGATGCATGGACACGCACACATGTACACAGATAAACACAGCAGGGGCCCAGACCAGCGCACAAAAACGACCCGCAGCCATGAAAATTACAATTGACCTGCAATTTGCCAGTAGGAAAGCTGTGTATTTGGATTGTGTGCGTCCGTGTGCATGTGTGTGTTTGTAGCAGCAGGAGTTTGTCTCAGCAGGTTATTAATGGAGTGCTCCTATGGAGGTCTCAGTGGGACTGTCACTGCTGCACCTCAACACCACCGCCTGTGGACAACCCACACACTCACCACCTGCACTGCTGCCGGTGGAAAACACACACACACACACACATTGAATATGAACACACACTCGGAAGACCTTCTGCCCTTTGCGGCACACACTGCTGCACACACACACACACACATACACATATATATATACAGAAACGTTTACCTCCCCAGAGCCCGGCATGAAGTCGACCCTCTCCACTTTCTAGCAGCAAATTAGGACAAAACCTCCAAAACACTCCAGCGCTCTACAGAGCCACTCAGACATCCACTTACGCTGAGGCTGATAGAAGCTTTGCTCATGTTCTTCAATTTATTTATTTTTTTACAGGTTTTACCAAAAACACTCAGGAGAATCAGTTCTTAAACTTTTTTGCATGAAGTAGGATCCCACACATGCAGATGTTGTTGGATTTCCTTCCATAAAAAGACAACAGTTAAACCACCTTGTTTGTAAAGCAAATTATGTTTGTCAGTTTTCTTTCTTCTTTTTAATACTATAAAATACAACAAAAAACTCAAAACTTGACCCAAAATGTTGTGAGTTTTGTTGGATGGATGAATGGATGAACTCTGTGTGGCCTAACGCCCATCCACCTGTATATTTTCTTCCGCCTATCTGGGGTCGGATCGCGGTGGCAGCAGGCTAAGCAGGACATTCCACATGCTCCTCTCTCCACCAACACAGCTCCTCCTGGGGATCCCAAGGCGGTCGTAGGCAAAATGAGATATGTAATCCCTCCAACTAGTTCTGGATCTACCCTGGCGTCTCCTCCCAGTTAGACTCGCCCAGTAAATGTCTGAAGATAGGCACCCAGGAGGCCTCCTGATCAGATGCCTAAACCACCTGAGTTGGCTCCGTTTGACATGAAGGAGCAGCGACTCTCCTCCGAGCGCCTCACCTTATCTCTAAGGCTGAGCCCAGCCACCCTACGGAGGAAACTCAGTTTAGCCACTTGTATCCTGGATCTCATTTTTTGAGTTACTCCCCAGAGCTCATGACCGTATGTGGGAAATCAAGAGCTTTGTCTTCCAGCTCAGCTCCCTCTTCACCGCAACAGTCGGTACAACAACAACAGATCCCCAGTGAATTGACTTTCCTCGAAATAGATGGACCGGGGCTTCCTCCTGAAGCCCAGCATGGGAGGGAAACTATCGGATGAGCATCTGGTGGCTCAGCCTTTGTCAAAGGGCACAACCTTAAACTGCAATATGGATTAACCATCCAGTGAGCCCACCACCTGCTGGAATAGGCGCAGAGTGTGAATGGAGATGAGGCAGGCCATGCACACATTTCTAGGCCGTGGACTGCCCTGTGACAGTACCCACCTGTCACTCAAAGCAGCCACACCCTTAATCGTGCATAATTCCCATTGTTAATACAACTTAACTGGATGGAGAATGTAAAGTTTACCACTCGCACAGTTGTCACAAACAGATAAATTAGCTCTTAAGACCAAAATAGTTATTGCACCAGGCTGTAAACATGTTTATTTCTGCTGTAAAGTTGGACATTTTAACATGGCGCTCTATGGGGGTTGACTCTCTTTTGGAGTGAGCCTCAAGTGGACACTCGAGGAACTGCACCCCCACTGTTGGCCTCATTTTTTGGCCGCAGAAGTTGCAGCTTGGAGAAAATGGATATTTCAGCAAACTTTATCTATTTTCTAACTTTGCTTGGTAAATAAATAAATAATCCTCTGCGCTCATTCAGGCAAAGGATGGAAAGTGTCGACTTAATAACCCCAGTAATATACACGCTGTCACGTGTTGGACTTTAATAACACAAGATGCCGCCTCGCTCCAGCTCAGCACGGAAATGTCAGCGTGGATGACACTTTTCCTTTATGTGACATACGGAAATATATCCGGCTGTTGTATTCATTAACTGCTGTTGTTTTGAGTCATCAAGCGTGAAAAGTGAGCCTGGAGACTGCCGTCGTATCTTCCTCCTGTCAGCGCTCTCTGTGCCATCCCCATGAACAGGATCCGTCTCCTCGGTGTCTCATGTTGTGCTTTTTCCATTTTCTGTCTCTGCAGCAACCCAACATCAAGCAGAAGTTTGTCGCCTTGCTGAAGAGGTTTAAAGTCACTGATGAGGTACGTTCTTTTTTTCCCCACTTTTTTTTTTTTTTTTTTTTTTACCTCCACCCTCCTCCCCTCGTGGCTCTGCCCCTCCTGATCACTTACATCCCACTTCCACTCGACGTGCAAGGCTCCGGAGTGTGTGCTCGCTTCAGAGGTGTTGCTGGTAGTCAACATGTATTTCAGTTCGGCTTTGAACGCACAAAGAGATGTGTGGGAGCGATGTGGCAGAACAACTGAGATTCAGCTGGCAGCTCCAAAACAACGTTGTAATTTAAAATAGAACAGAGACGTGTTTAATGTGTTCATGTGCTGCTGGAGTGATTCCATCAAGCGAAGTGTGTGTTTTATCTCAAACTGCTCGCACTTCTGCATCTGAGTCTGGTGCATATGTACGTGTGGGTTCCTCTGTTGTGAAGACTTGTGTTTGTTTAGCTGCTATTACTCACTAATCTGAAACTTTTCTACATGTCTTTGTGCTTATCCAGTGCTGTGGCTGTGTCACGTATCAAAAATGTGATCAATACCACTGTACTATTGCTTGTATCTGTACAATTATTACTTTTCCCATCTGTACTATCATCGCTATTACCTGACAAGCATCTCTGCTAAGATTCAAGTTAGTATCGTGATCCCATTAATACCTTTTCTGCTATTTTCCAGTCTGTGTTTTTGCACTGATGCTCTGTATAAATCAGAATTATTGCAAATTGGGTGTTATTTTTGCAGCTTGCATTGTCATTTATATATATATAAATAATGCATATGTGCTGCTTTATTACTGGACATGCTGTGGAAATACTCAATTAATGGATTAGTTGATCAACAGTCCAGTAATCAACTCCTAAAATGAGCAAAACAAATGATTTAAAGACGTCATCTTTTTGAGAATTTGTGATGGTTTTTTTTCAGATTTTTATTAAGTACATAGAGAATTCATCAATTAAAGTTGTGGGAGGCAGCAGTCTGGAAAAGGATTTGAAAACCCAGCCGTCCTCCTGCGGCTCTTCCCTCTCAGGCTTCAGCACATGTTTCATACTCAAGATCAACGCTTAACTCACTGATGTTACTCGATTCAGTAACCTGTACTTGTCATTCAGTTCAATTGTTCTGATTGTGACCCTGATGCTGTTGTGCAAAAGAAGTTCCATGAGATTTACGGCCTTGTTTTCTTTTTAAACTCATGGGCCTCAAAGATGACAGCAAACTGAGAACTTGAGGCCGATTCAATTGCCTCAATTTGCTCAATGCATTGCTCTTTTTTTGTGTTGTTCTCCAGTGCAGGCAGTTGTTTCCAATTCTAGAACAGCAACTTTTCCTGCAGTATTTTCCGCCATTGAATCAGGCTTATCGTCTACATTTGTAAAACAGCCAATAGGAACAACTCCCTCTCCCTGTGAAAGCCTGTGATTGGCCAAAGTCTACCACCGTGGACTTGAATTTCTAAATCCTGAAAACAGAGGCAGGAGCAGGAGTCTCGTTTCTCCTCAGATTGTTGGAATTACAATACGCTATTATGTAATTGTTACGCAGCGATGCCAAGGAATTCTGCCTACCCCAGCTTTAACTGCTAAAAATAAGTGAGATGACGAATTAAACAGATTTCACTTAAACCCCCAGCTTAGCCTACTTTTTGAAATGGGAACAATGGTGCACGATGATATTATTCTGTGGTTGAAATCTTTTACGATTGACAGACAACTTCCTGCTGCCACGTTCTGAAATTTCCACAAAGATTTGAAGTCAAGATAGAAAAAACAAAACAAGTAGTATATGCTTCCATCATATGATTTGATTTGATCTGTAAGAAAGCAGTGGACTGGTTGCATCCCCAGTAATGCCACTTTGACATGTGTGCATCTTGTGTGTTTACATGCATGACTAGTTACATTTTAAGCCCATAACTCGGCCGCAGTATCACAGTTCAATGTGTACTCTGATTAGCAGAATGACGTCTGAGCCACCTGCCTCGCTCTCATATTAAACAGGTCACTGTGGCAGGTAAACATCTCACTTGTTTCGCTTCTGGTTTTCGCCGTCTGCGAAATCTCAGCCCTGCAGAGCCTTGTGGGTACATTATTGTGTCAACAGGAAAAACTGGCAGTGCGCTGTGTTGAGTATTACTGCTGGGATCGACGATCTCTCCTCTGCACGGGAAGTTATTTGTGCTCGGGTAGAGGAGGGGGAGGGGAGTTGTTGGCACATTTTTATAGCCTCTATATGTGTTAACAGAAGTCGTGGATTCAGTTAAATAAAGGGAAAAGTGAAATTCAGGGTGTCAATGTTCTCCCCTGTGTCTCGTCCAGGTTGGTTTTGGCCTCGAGCACGTCTCCAGGGAGCAGATCCAGGAGGTGGAGGAGGACCTGGACGAGCTCTACGACAGCCTGGAGATGTACAACCCCAGCGACAGCGGGCCGGAGATGGAGGAGACCGACAGCATCCTCAGCACCCCCAAACCCAAGCTAAGGTACTGACATCATATTACTATGCGCCTCGCTTCCACAGACCTGCTGCTCCACCTGCACAGATATCCGCTGCTCTGTGCTCGTCTGCATTCAGCACCACACCGACAACGACTCGACCCTCTCCACTAACAATTCAGAGCCCCCTCTGTCGGCCAAAACGGCTCACTGCAGCCACAGATTAAAAAGCTTTACATGAGCCAGAACTGGGTCAGTTTTCTTTGATCAAAATGTAGATGTAAATCAAAGCAGTTTTAATTTCATCCCAAAAATGTTATTGGTGTTGACTCATGAAAGAAAGTCACACTCCTCAACTGAAATGAACATTAGTCATCCTCAAATTCAAAGCCGAAGCTTGTCGTGAGTCTGATAATTATTTTGAAAAATGGGTTTGAAAGCGTCAGAGCAGCTGAATGAGTCAGAAATTAAAAATATGTACTTACATACTCAGACAGGGCAGTGACATGCTTCAAACAGAGTGGAGAAAATAGCAGGTGTATTTTCTATTTCTGTTATCTGCTTTCTTTCTTTAGCAGCTTTTTAAATATAAAAAGACACTTTCATACACAAAGAAACACTACTTGAAGGTTTTCTTTTCTCACAGTAACGCATTTGAAAAGTGACGGCGCTATAAAAATAAGTGACAAATTTCCTCCTGTCATTAAGGTATTGTTGCTATTTTGGGTTGTGCATGAAGTTTTCTTTTGTTTCTGCTCGCTCAGGCCCTTCTTTGAGGGAATGTCTCAGTCCAGCTCGCAGACGGAGATCGGCAGTCTGAACAGCAAAGGCAGTTTGGGCCGAGACACTTTCAGCCCGGTGAGTAGCTCTGATCCACAGCAGCTGCTCCGTCAGCAGAAATGATACTTCTGTGAGCTGTGAGGTGAAAACCTGAACTGTTGGAGGGGATTTTTTTTCTCCTCCTCCCCATCTCACCCACAGTGGAGTGTAATAAATCTTTATTGCCCCCTGAGGGTGTCCGACTTTACAACCAGATGTCATTAAAACCTGTGTACAGAAGACACGTGTTACAGGTGCAATATACGCCGACGACTACAGCTGCTGTGCAGTGATAGCGTGAGGCAGTTAAACCCATGAAAGATTTTCTATTGACAAAAGTTTTTATTACTGCCATTATTTCCCCGAGGGGTCACAAGATTAATCTGAAGAGGAGATTGTCAGCAGTGTTGAAAAACAGAAGAAAAATTAGTTTCTGTTGCATGAGATTATTTATATTTTATCTCTAAATTAGTTTCTCCTACTGAAAAACCTGATAAGAAATAGTGTCTTTGTTGTTTTTAATTAACAGTTTTCTGTAATTTAGTTGTTTTTGCATGTATTTATTTCAGTAAAAATATTTTAAGATGTTCCTTCAGTTTCACACCTCATCCCTTAATTTAGTCATATTTTTTTGGCCCTTATCCAATGTTGTCATATTATTTATTACAGTACATTTAATTCTTATTGCATTGATTTATTACTAAGTACACAAAGGGCTTCACACTCACTGCTGACAAGATAATAAAATGATAAAACTACGCTCACACAGTGGCACTAAATAGCATACAGTAGCATAAAATATGTTTAGAATACAGCATAAAATGAAGCAACAAGCTTGAAAAGCAACATGTGACTCTGCATTGATGCGGTAAATATCCCCGATCTAAAGCCGATGAAAATCACCGCAGCGGGGAAGCAGACTGCAAATGTAAAAATTTTCAGAACTGTTTCACACTAACATTTTCCTTAATGGAGGAGAAATCCAATAACTCTTTGACAGCCACCATCTGCTGAATAAAAAGTGTTTAATCACGCCAGGCTGAATGGATTTCAGTGGATGTCTGCGCTGCATTCAGACACAAGCAGCTGGAGTTGCTCCTTGTGTTGTGTTGGTGCGTTTCTATCCTGAAGAAAAGGCTGCTTTCACTGGAGTAAATGTGTTATTTGTGTAAAAAGAACTAACATCCTCTGGCGATCGCTGCTGCTGTCTTAGGTTGGTTATGTTTTCTCCCTAAAGCCGAGCACTGTGGCTGCATCTGTTCTTTTTATTTGCTGAATCTCGGGTCTCATTAAGGCCGTAGACTGACTGCCGCTGCCTCGTCTTCCCAGCAGGGGGAGCAGCCTCCTCTGGAGAAGATGAAACCCTCCCGCAGCCGCAACCTGGATGACGTCCCGTCTGAGACCGACACGCTGGTACGACTGATTTGTGCTCATGAGTGTTGCTGTGTAACCAGAACAAAAAAAAAGAGAGCATTAATGTTGTGTTGGGCTCTTTTGTGAATATCAGTGTGAGGACGATTCACTGCCATCTGTGCTGTAAGTGAGACAGATTGAGAAAGCAGAAGAAACACAAAGTGGATTGTCAGAGAAGATGGCTTTCAGATTGCCACTATCTCCTCTTGTTTGACACTGACAGTCTGTCTCTGTGTAGGAGCTAACGGACCAGGAGCTGTTTGCTGAGGTGGGCCCCTGCATCACAGTGTCGGTGGCAGAGAAACCCCGTACGCCCCTGAAGAGCAGCAAAAGTGAAACCCAGCCCATGGCGTCACCACGGTAACATATCGCTCAAGTCAAACACGCTTTTATTTTGAAAATATGTTGCTGTTTGCTGTTTCTGATTCTTGATTTATGTCTAAAATATGAAAATATGAAAAGAAAAACTGAATTTATTATCAGAAACGTGCTCATTTTACAGATATTGCCACAAAACTAATATCAGCGATTACTTGTTTTTATGACTTCTGTCTACTTCTGCTGCTCCGTCGTTCATGATGCTACAAATAAACACTGTCTCTCCTTTTTTTGTCCTCCTCTGCTCACTGTACTTTATCTAGATGCTGTGTGTAAAACTTTGAATGTAATTTTTGCTTCATTAACACATTTTGCAGCTCATTGTTTCGGTATTACATCCTGCAAGTTTACTATTTCAGTTTAGTCTCAATGTTCTTGGACAGTCTGCACACTTTCTATTACCTGTCAAATATTAAAAGGCAGGCTTCTGGCAAAGTTATCTTGCTAGTTTTGGATCATTTTGGAGCGTTTAATAACTAAAGCACCAGATGTTTCCCTTATTAGGTGGTGGAGACCAAAACAGAGCTAAAACGAGAAAAGACATGATTTTAAAACTAATACTGCTCTGTATCTGTGAGACATGTAAAGGGTTTGTGAACACATTTCTCGTAACAATTTGATAATATGTCAGTATTTCAGCTAAAGTAGGTTTTAAATCAGCTGACAGAAGACAGTCTTGGAAGATGAAGGGAAATCAATGGACCATCATCTTGTCATTGCATGTTTTGCCGATTTCATGTGAACACGTTTTGAACTCGCTTCGTCTTCTTTCCCAGGTTGGACGGAGGCCACACGCCCAGACAGAAGCGCAGCAGCACTCCCATGAAGGAAAGACAGCTGTCCAAACCTCTCAGTGAACGAACCAACAGCTCAGACTCGGAGAGATCCCCGGAGCTGGGACACACCACTCCGGTACGGCACCGAAAGGCTCTAAACCTCAGCTAGACTGAGAATTTTAATGACTAATTCTTTCCAGGATTTTAACATAAGCTACGCCATCATTTCAACCTTGCATACAAAAATAAACCAGCATGTTGCGGTATTCCCACAGAGGGATTTACACATAAAAACAGCTCCCTTTGTTCTCTGCTCTCTCCTACCCGCGCACTTTGCTCAAAGTAAAGAAAAAAAAAAAAAACATGCATTCTGATAATGTATGACTCGCCTGGAGCTCAGAAATGAATTATGTATGTGCTGATGAGTCATCTGAAGAGTAAATGTGTTGCTGTGGGGGGGGATTTATGGACTCGGCGTGTGTTTGTGTGTGAAGGTCCTGAGGAAGGCTGTGTACGATCAGCTCAATCAGATTCTGTTGTCGGACGCGGCGCTCCCAGAGAGCCTCATCTTGGTCAACGGCACAGACTGGCAGGGGCAGGTGAGGCTCACGGCTTTCAACGTTTGGACGGCGGTTTTCAACACGCATCTCACCTTTTTTGTGTGTGTGTGTGTCGCAGTATGTTGCAGAGCAGCTCCAGGTACAGAGACACCCGGTGGTGTGCACGTGTTCGGCAGCTGAGATCCAGGCGGTGCTGTCTGCTGTGCTCACTCGCATCCAGAAATTGTGAGTTTTTCTAATGTGCACAAACAACAAAGGCACAAACGCGTCCTGAGTTAGCCGGATGACTCATCTTCTCAGCCTTTTCGCTGCTCTTTGCCTTATTTTCCATCCTCTCTCTCTCACCTCCATCTTTCCGCCTCTTCCTCTTTGGCCCTGTGACTGTACTTCTGTTTTTTCCCAAAATAAAACTTCATACATCCCCCTTATCTCTCCCTCTGTCTGCGCACCTCTTTGTCTCTCCGATTTGCTCTATTGGTATTACACTTACCAAAACATATAAGAGAAAATGTCAGATAAATAAACACATAATGGTGGTTATGTTACCAACTGGGCGTATAAGAAAAGACTCATAAACAGGAAGTATTAAAGGATTTACATTTTGGTTTTATGCAGAAAAGAGAATGTTTTTCATCATTAGTCATAAATCTTGAATATTTACATTTAATTTTAGAGCTTTTAGGCGATTAAATAGATGAGTCAAGCTGTTCATTTGTCATTAAGGAATGAATATTTTCAGCTTTTCCAATGTAAGGATTCACTTCTTATCCCTGTTTTGTATGAATTAAAAGTTAATTTGTTGTAATTGGTTTTACAAAACAAAAAATCTTCTGGGGAATAAACATCAAGAAAAGTAGCTCTCTGCCTCATTGTGTTAGCACCAGTGGTTACAAATACATGCATGTGTTTCGTATTTGAATTTACAGTTTATTGTTCTGGTTTTGGAGATCAGATTATTTTCCTTTTCCAATCAGTTTGTCCGTTAAGGGATTTGTAGGTTTTGATAGATGAGACTCCACACAGCACCTGTAACACACCCCCCTCTTTCTCTCTCCCTGTAGCTGTAACTGTAACTCGTCCATGCCCAGAGCGGTGAAGGTGGCGGCGGTGGGCAGCCAGAGCTACCTGGGAGCCATCCTGCAGTTCTTCGTCACCCAGCTCGCCAACAAGACGTCCGACTGGCTCAACCACATGCGCTTCCTGGTGGTGCCTCTGGGTAAGAGTCTCCATGGCGATCAAGAAGCAGACTGCGGCAAGGTTTCGTCACTTTTGGGGAAGAGACTTTAGCGCTTATTTCAAACACATGCTGATTAGGTTTTGGCAAATACTTATCTCCGGATCTGGGCAGTTGGCCCAGTTGCAGGCCGACATTCTCCCTCTTCACGTTTCCTTCTTCTTCTTTCTTGATCAGGCTCTCATCCTGTTGCTAAGCACCTTGGCGCCCTTGACAACCGCTACAGCTCCTCCTTTCTGGATGGAGCGTGGAGGGACGTGTTCAGCCGCTCGGAGCCGCCACAGACAGGTAACGCCGATCAACACACGCTACCTTCTGCTTCCAAAATAATTAAACACAGACGCATCTAATCATCTGTTTTTCACCTGCAGATCAGTTGGATGTAGCGGGTAGAATCGCCCAGTACATCAGCGGAGCCACAGTCACACACCAGCTGCCCATCGCTGAGGCCATGCTCACCTGCAAACACAGGACGTGAGTGTCGACGCTAACGAACGTCACCGACTGGAACTCGCTCTTTGGCTTGTGTTAACATCCTCTGCTGTTTCTCTTTCCCCCCAGGCGAGATGAAGACTCCTACCAGAAATTCATTCCTTTTATTGGGGTGAGAATTTACTCTGAGGGATGAAATTGCCAACGATTGCTACTGACGTCATCTTGCTGACGTCTTTTCTTGTTTTCCAGGTGGTGAAGGTTGGTCTCATCGAGTCTGGTCCGTCCCCAGCAGGTGAGTGTTTGGAAAAGAGTTTCAACGGAGCGTTGGGTTTGATTTAAGCTTTTGACATTTTTATTTCCATTTTTGCTACTTTTCAGGGGATACAGAGGAAGGTGTGGCAGTGAGCTTGGCGGTTCCCTCCACGTCTCCTCCGTCCCACGGCTCCCCCACAGGGATGATCAAAGAGGCGGCCACGCCCCCCTCCTCACCCTCTATGGGCAGTGTCCTCACAGTACAAGGGTAACATTTAACTTTACTCTCTCACTTTCTCTAATTTTGGACTTCCAGGTGGATTTGATCCCTCCAAAAATATCCCATTAGGCTTCAAAATGTTTACATGAAATAGAATAGCTAATAAATTCAGATTTTTTATCTATTTATGAGTGTGGAATTTATATTTTTATCGTACAAGTTGGTGAAATCTGGCCCATGTTGAGCAGATAAAACCACAGTTAATACATTATATTGCATGCTTTTGTGTGTAAAATCGTATCTTGCGCAATAAATCCTAACCGCAGCCGTCAGCGAAACATGTTGCAGAGTCGTTGCAGAGCTATTAATGCCTTTAAACCTTCTGTCTGTATTAGTTCTTCGAGCAAACAGGCGGTTGCATGTGTTTGACCAGGATCCTCCTCCGAAACATGAGGGACTCTTTGAATCAGATGGTTTTTTTTGCTTTGCCTGCCGCAGTCCGTCTCTGTAGAGCCACACAGAGTGCAGCTGATCTCATCTTTCTGTTTCACCTGAGTGTATAAAATCTGTTTTTGACATTTAAATTGAATTAATTATTCGAGGTCGGGTGCTGCTGTGGAAAAGGCACATTTTATATAGAACAGGCAATTCAAATTGCTTTGCTCAGAGCATTAAAAGGTTTTTAAAAGAAAGAACAACGGCGTAAAAACATGTAAATTCAAAACATTATTGAACACCTTTGCACTTGACAGACAAAATACTAAATACAAAATAAATAAATAAATAAATCCTACGACCTCCTGCACCGCCTGTAGGCACCAAGGTCCTGTCACACGTGAACTTGTTTTATGGCACTTATTCAGGTCGTTTCCTCCTGACTACATCCCTGCTTGTGTCACGTCTAGTCTCAGATCTACATCGTTTTGGATAAAAGCTCAATGAATTTGTAAATTGCAATAGTAGATTAGAGAATTAAAGTACAGGAACCTTGAGCAAAAGTTGAAACCAAAAAATGTGGATATTTGTAAAAGTGGCACGTAAATCAAAAGCAGAGAAAAAAATGAGAGTCTTTAAAAACAAAGAAAGAAATAAAGCAGACACATGTGTAGAATGAATCCTCTTTCCGGCTCAGCAGAACTTATCTGGATAAAGAGAGATTAAAAAGCAGTGCTTCTCTGAACAGCAGAGGAGCGATGACCTGAAAGAACCCGTCTGTATGATTCTGATGTTTGCTCTGTTGAAACCTAAAACTACAGAACATGTAACTGAACCACCGAGAACTTCACATAAAGAAACAAGCAGCTGACATGAACACACACTGATTTGGAGTCATTTTTCATGTAGAAACAGTTTTCTTGTGTTGTTAAGAGCTTTTTCTGTCCGCAGGAGCCCCAGCATGTCTCACGGCGTGGACGCCATCGGCCTGCAGGTGGACTACTGGCTGGCCTCGCTGGCGGAGAAGCGTCGGGAGGGCGAGCGGCGCGACACGGGCTGCAAGAACACGCTGAAGAGTGCCTTCCGCTCGCTGCAGGTCAGCAGGCTGCCAGGAGGAGGCAGCAGCGATCCACAGGCGCAGGTCAGCACCATGGCCATGACCGTGGTCACCAAGGAGAAGAACAAGAAAGGTGAGACGAGGATCCGTGTGCATAATTAAAACTGTTGACACTAATTTGACAGAGTGATGCCACCTGCAGTTCGGTGAGCCAGAATTTAGCCTCCTCAAATGATAAAACCAAACTGCTTTTTTGTGTGCATATTGTCATTAAACACATGCCAGCGATTCAAAAGTCATATTTGAAATTGAAACGCTTCTGCTTAATTGTGTGTTTATAACATCTTATATTAATTTATACATTAACAGGTCTGGTTAATTACAGTTTAGAGATGAATGATCCAAATGTTGAGTCCCACAGAACAATTGTTGTGTCAGAATCCAAAAAAACAGCAATCAAATATGTTCCATGTTAGTTTTTTCATCTTTTTCATATTTTGCTTTTTATTTGAAATCATAAACAGAAGTGCCGTGGCTTTTTAGTTCCTACATTTTAAACAAAAACAAAAAAATGATTCTGTCTATTTTCATCACCCTGATATAGAAGATATGCAAAATGTTCTCTTAGTGAACGGCCGGTCTATAATCTTGGCTTTTATTTTTAAACTCTATCGACTGACTCAAATGAGCGTTTTTGCAAACCGAAACTGCGGTTTTTGAATTTTTAGACCACAGGATTTCATTTTTACTTTAAAATTAGGAAAAAAAACAACACATATGACTTGAGTTTTGGTTTCTAAAAACAAAAAACAACTAAAGTGTTTGATTGTTTTTCCACCTGACACAGTTCCTACATTGAATCACAGATTATCATATGATCCCTACACCTTCTCCATATGTCCTGTTCCGTCCCTTATCACACGTTGACATTAGTGTCTTTTCCCCTCATCGTTGCTCCCCTCAGTTCCCACCATCTTCCTGGGAAAGAAGCCCAAAGAGAAGGATGTCGACTCTAAGAGCCAAGTCATCGAGGGCATCAGCCGACTCATCTGCTCTGCCAAGCAGCAACAGACCATCCTGAAAGGTAACCCGATCGATCACAGGCTCGGTTTCATCCACTACTGTTCGCTCTTTCAGTTTTATTTCCCCGTCAGTCTGTTACTCAGCCGAGCTTTTCCTCCTCCTCAGTGTCCATCGACGGCGTAGAGTGGAACGACGTCAAGTTCTTCCAGCTGGCCGCCCAGTGGCCCACTCACGTCAAATACCTGCCTGTCGGACTTTTCGGCTACAGCAAACCCCCGTCTTAGGGCCGAGCGCCGCCCGACTTCTCTGACCCCGACCTGACCTGCGACTCTCCTCGATCCTGTCACACCTTTGCGCACAGACCCCGCCTCTCAGCGCCTGCAGAGCCGAGAGAAGACGTGGAGCGGCTGGATTATTTCCATCCTTTGGTTTCATTTTAGCCGTCTTGTTTCTCCGTAGGGAGGAGGTGGAGGAGGAGGGTGCTGGGTGCAGCGCTGTTACTAGTCACTTTAATGCCCCTTTTTGTGTGTCTGTGTGTGCGATGAGTGTGCATGCACACGTGAATGTACAGTATGTGTGTAAATGTGTGTGTGTGTGTGTGTGTGTGTGTTTGCGTGTGTGTTTACAGGGGGGTTACAGCACAAGTTTATTAGCTAACTGCCATTTCCGTTCTATGGAATGCAACAGCATGCAACAAGTCACCATTTTCAAGCCCTGACAGTCTGACCCTCGACTACTGACCCCGTCAAAAGTCACCTCGAGCTCCGATCCACACGTGCATGCTCCCGACTAACAGACACACCACTCATGTGCCACCAACAGTAACTCAAAATAAAAAGCAGTGCAACAGGGCTTCGGTGTTTGCATGAGCCGGTGAAAACACAAAGAAAAGTCGCCTCCGCTCACAAATAAAAGGCCGCCGTGTCGTGATTTTTCTCCCTGCGAAACAAACTCCCCTCTAAGCAAACCCTTTCATTTTTGATTTGTATTAATTTCAAGGGCTTCCAGTGACGGTTTTAAATATTTTCTCTGTACCAAAATGAGTCATTTGGATGTCTTAATGCCAAACAGAAAAGAAAAAATATCCATATAAAGGGGAAGTGTCTTTTTTTTTTTCTTTTTTTAAACTGTGCTCTAGTGAAAAATAGTAAGAACTTCCCTTTAAAGCTGTTTTGTGATGCATAGTGTGTGTTATTGTGAAGAGTTACAAGATTTCAGGGCAGGAGCAACTATAATGTGCAGTTTTCTTTTTTTTTCTTATTTGCTATGCATTTATGAATCCACTACTGGCGAAAATAGACGAACTCCCTTCATAGCAGATCCGAATAAATATGCAACCAGAAACAAAATGCATGTTTAAAAAGTTCAAAACTGTTGACAGGAACATGATGGGAAAAGTGTGGGTGTTTTTTCCCAGATTAAACTCCGCAAGAATGAGAGTTAATTACCCACAATGAAGCACAATGTCGTCGCCAGTTGGCCCCAGAAAATCCTCACTTTATCAGCAACACACTGGCAGCTTTTCTTTTCAGTGAAAACAGCGGACCTGGTCAAAAAAAGTCCCATTCTTTGAGCCGTTCCCTTTTTATTTCCTTTAGACTCCTTATTAAGCATTTTTATCAGGAAGCAGTCGGGTTTGTGTTATTTTGGCACAGGTCTGCTTCGTGCTTTTTCTGTAGGATGTCGTGAGGTGATTAGTGAGTGTACAGTAACTGGTAACAAGTGTGTGTGTGTGTACGTGGTGAAGTAAATGTAATGTGGTCAAAAAAAAAAATCACTTCAGAGGAGGAATAGTTTTTCTACCATGTGATAGAGGGCATGCAATTGGTGTGTGAGAGTGTGTGTGTGTGTGTGTGAGTGTGTGTTGGTGCTGATGTGTGGTCATTATCAATGTCACTGATTAGGGCTGTGAAAGCTGCAGTGGTCATCTTGTTCACGTCGTAGCCCGGCACGAGGCAGCAGGACGAGATTACAAATTAACTCCACTTAGGAGCAAATTTTATAGTAATTGGGTTAAAAAAAATCTTTAAAATAATCTAAACCTGTGCAGCTCTGCCTTGTGTCGCCTACATCCTAACACTCTCCATCTCCGGTGAAGTATTCGCAAAATAGTCTCTTTTTTTTAAAATAAATAGTGTTAATGCCAATGCCTTGATTGAAACGCTGTTTGTTTGAAGATAGATTAGCTGATTTCTTTCCTGTGTCGATGTTCCAGTGTTACAGTTGTGAGGTCAGCAGCACGTCTCCAACTCCGCTCGGTTTTTTGTTTTTCTGCACCTGTTACACGAGGTTTCACACTGAAGGCTTCCGGAGCTTTAGTTCCTCCGTTCGGTTAGCGGCTCAGCTGGGTGGATTTTAGGTAATTCCAAATATTTGAATGTATTGAGTTTAGTTTACATGTTCATTGTGAACGGCTGATTTTTAGAGACTAAAGTGAAGATGGCAGAGTTTTAGAAAGCTCCTCCGCAGACATTTTCAAGTCTGCATGAGCACTTTTGTGACTAAGTGGCAGCAAAAATAGCGACCTTTTGAACACAACCCTCTTGAAACCTTCAGTGTTTTCCCCCTGCTGACAACCAGCGAAGGGCTGGTTTAATTATTCCTGAACATCAGCGAGCGTTGATGTTCTGTAGTCTGACAAAGAAGTAGCAAACTAACACCAGGAGGTTTCATTCAAAAATGATTGACACGTTTGGCAGAAACTTCACCTTCAGACCTTTTGGTGCCGCTTTAAGATGACGCATACTTAACAAAGGTTTTATAATTCGTCGCTAATTAATTCATCAGTAGGAATAAACCTTTTAAATAAGCAAAGTTCAGGACTGAGCTGCTATGATGCATGAAGGAGAACAGCTTTTGGGTTGCCAGATGTTGAGCTTAAATGTCAGTGAAGTGTCCCTTTGGTTATTTTATAATATATACACGGTTTGTTCTTTAAAGCTGCACTTATCAGGATTTTTATAGAAACAATTCGTTAAGTTTGGGTGAATTTAAAGGGATTCACGAACAGGAAAAACCAACCCAACCAACTCAGCTCTACAGAGCATGGTAGTGTCTTTAAACTTGGCATTTTGGTTTCAGGGGCTGCAGCTTTAATTTAATTTGCTCTCAGTGCAGCACTTTTCTCACTTTAAGCCAAAAAAGCTGGTGAGAACAGAAGACTTTAATAGCCAACTAGCCAGATATCATCCCCAGAAGGTGGTGGAGACCAAAACAGAGCAAAAAGGAGGCTCAATTTACCTTAAAATTTACCTTGAATTTGACAGAAGAACACAAACACACAGCTCCAAATAGAGAATCATGCTACTCTAGATCTGCCAGATGTGTAAATAGACAAAAATTAATTAATTTTTAAAATATCCTGACATCTGTGTACCCGGTGTGGCTGAGAAATACAAGTAATACAGCTTTGTTAGATCATTATTAAGTCTAACGGGTTGTGAAGAATATCTGTAGTGTCATTAAAATATAAAATCTACAACTTAAAATTCAGTAAAGGCGTATATTGGGACACTGTGTATATTGTAAATGAACCAGAGGGATTCTTCACCCAAATCTGGCAACCCAAAACTTAGTGCATTCTAACAGCTTTTTGCCAATCTGTTCACCTGTGTATGAAACCTACACTTTATAAAGCCACAAAGACTTATTAGGTTTTCTAAAGGTGTTGTAAAAGGTTGTAGCATTTTTAAATTTGAAAAGTGATCCGAAATTTCTACAACATTTGGAACGAAACTTCTTTTTTTTTACTAAAATTGTGGCAGATCTGATCTCTGCCGTTAGAAACAACCGCTACTGACACAAAACGCTCTTCGCCTCGTGGTGATGTCTGTCAAATTACTGCAATGGTGTGATTTACTAAATTGTATAAAACTGTGATTTATTGATGCTGGTTTTGTTTGCACCTGAAGAGGGAGGTCGAAGGTCGGCTGATGCTTCAGCTCACCGATTAAAATTAGAGAATGAGAATCACTGCCAAAACGAAAACGTGACAAAATTGTTGTTTTATTAAATTAGATTAGCAGGTTTTTTGGAGTGCTGACACCTAAACAACAAAGTGATCCTTGTTCTAAAGTCGTCATTTCAATGTTTGGAGGAACTGAATGCATCACACATTCTGCAGCTTTTTCACCTGAAAACCACGTTTTCCTCTCATTCGTACCATTTGCGTGTTTCCCCTCAGTGTCGTTGAAGATGCTGGTCGTTCTGTATGTAAGTCTTGAACTCGTGTGTTTTTTTTACCTGTACCTCTGTACCCGTGTCGACCCGTGTTTGTGACGCTGTAATGATGGTTCCTCTGTCCTTGACTAGTCGTGGTTAGAGATTAGGAGCTGTTCGGTCCGTCAGTAATCTCCGTCAGTGATCAGCAGTGTCTTTTTCTCTCCGCCGTCCTCAGAAGTACGTCCCTCTGATGATGAGAGAGTCCTCTTCACCAGGCCTCCACAAGCTCACCTGTCTAAAACAAACAAAAAGTCAAAAACCTCCCCATTCCCTCGCAGCTTGTAAATTTGCCATCTGTCCTCGTGGGAACGGGATTTGCCTATGAAAGCAGTAGATTTCTGCTCAGAGCAGAGCGTCCAGAGCTTGTGGACTTGTGGAGAGTAATTTGCACATGCCATCGTTTGTTCAGCAGCAGTCTTCAGCTTCTTTGCCTTTTGCCTATAACAATAATTATAATAAACAAACTATGACGCTTGTACATATCAGATAGTACTTGTTATATTGTATTCTAGTTCTCTCTTTTTTTTTTTTGTCGTTGTTCTGTTTTTCTTAATTTGACATGTTTTGTAGTACTGCTTTTTCATGATTACGTTTGTCAATCAAACAGATGTGGGATGAAAAGTGGAAGTGTTCATTGTTTCATTTGTTTTTTAAAATAAAAATATTCCTGATTTGTATCACAGTCTCCTGTTATTGAACGATATGTATGTGTGTGAGTTAAGAACTGTGACGTTAAACCATATTTTTAAATGTGGAAAACACAAAGAATATAACCTTTGCAATACCTGTAGCACCAAACTCTGCAGATAGCCCCACAAATCTGTGATTAATCATGCAAAAACTAAAATTAATTTTGAATATATTTTAACATCTCGTATGTGATTTATGGGAAATACAGTCCTTGTTGTTGCAGATAGACAAACTGAGCCGATAAAAAGAAGTAAAGTGCATTTCAGGTGGTGATATAAAGTATGGAAGAGTAAATAAATGGTGCACATGATGCAGGTCAGTGGTCCATGGGGCCTCTAACTGTCCTGTTGCCCTCTTTGCCCCTTTGGATGGAGGCTGCTGCTGACATCATTGCACAAAGAGCACCAGCAAAGCAAGAGGCTTCACTTCCATCTCCTGTTTCATAAAAATGTTCTTCATTTTTTCTTGGACTCAGATTTTTAAACCCTACTGCGTCACTGCTATGTGAAGGTCGGTGCTCTTATCCATTATAAATCAACCTTGTGACAGAAGCATCTGAGAACTGCTGAGCTAGACCAGGCCTGCCAATGTCTAGCTACCAGCTGGAGTGATAATGGCATAACTGATAAGTTATTAATGCTCATTTTAATTTTTAATAAGTATTTTATGTAGCAGTAAGTTGGGTGATCATCCAGGAGATGAGATGAAAAAACTCAAAATATCACAATAAATAAAAATCACAGCAAATCTGCTGATTACAGGTAATTGATAAAACTTCCAAAATGACAAACAGACTTCATTGAAGCTGTATAGCACGCAGTTTTAGTTCCTTCTTTAAAAATAGGTGTGACTGATGGTGACTGTTTTTTTTAACAGGTTCTCCCAGTTGTAGATGTTAGTATAGCCTAAAAATCTCTTCCCAAAGCTGTTTTTGTGGTTTCCTTTCTGATGCTTTTCTTTTTACCTCTGGTTTCTTTTTATTTATTTTTTACATTTTATATTCCATTTCTCTTCCGCTACCCTATTTAGTTTTAATACATACTTTGTTAATTGTTGTGGCTTTGATTTGTATTTATTTATCAAGGAATTGTAGAAAAAACTTTTCTCTAAAGTGCATAATAGACTTAACTGTTCTCTGACTCCAAAAAAGAAAAAAGAAAAGAAAAGAAAAGAAAGGAAAATTGATCCAGGGCTATTCATAAAACATTAGGGCTCTAGCCGTGGCCCACTTTCTGAAGAATAAAAAATAAAAAATTCAAGAACAAAATAAAGTAAATTATGCCACTTTAGCTCTGAATATAAACAGGAATCTAAAGCGAATCTGTTTAAGTTCTTTTACAACAACTAAAAATGCTCAAACAAAATTCAGTATATAGACCCTCGCTGGGAGCGGCACTTTCCCTATACGCATGCGCAACATAGTTTCCCGCCCCGACTGGAAAATGCCGAGAGTGAATCATCTCGACTTTTCAGCCTATCTTTGGCTGAGGACTCCGGGAAAACAGCCATTTTCGTCTCCTGGCTGTCACATTTGAAGCACACCTACGATACCATCATTTTTTAAAACTAGTAAAAGTTCAGTCACTGGCGTCCAACACTGTGTGCACGTTCAGGAGATTCATTTCTGTCCTGTTTTATCAAGTGACAACCTGGGTAAGTTACGGCGAAGCAGCTAGTAGCGCGCTAATGCGGCTGTTTGCTAGCTTAATTGCTAGCTGCACATGTGATTTAATTCACATAAAGTCGGTTGTGTCGGGGCCATTTCGGTGTCCCTAATTGCTTAGTAGCATCAGGCGTGTGAAGTGAAGAAGACAGGCAAGCTAGCTGTACTTACTAGCACCTAGCCGTCTTCAAAGTAAGCTAGCGTCAGTGTAACGGCTAATTGCAAACTTTGAATAGCATCTTTGCTAAGTCGCGTTTAGCAAAAAAACGAACTTGTTTTAATGTAAAAGTAAAATTGGCACACATTATCACTGATAACATGTTGTTTAGTGCCGTGTTTGGTTGCCTACATCGCCCTACGAAGCGTTGCATGAACAGTTATTGAGGGTTTTATTTTGAAAAACGCCACCAGAAGGGGTTTGACTGTAGCAGGCTTGGCGCAGGTCCGTCCGCAGCATCACAACATTGTACCGCCGCTTTGTTCGAGGGTCGGATAGCATCGCACTTGTCTTCGATGAAGGTAAAAATACGGATAAATAACATTTCTATCAGCATATTGTCACAGCTTTGTAGATGCAATACATTAATACGTGTGATTGTAATATGTTTGCGTATTTGTAGCAAATCAGACGGCGAGTCGGTAAATGTGTCATCTGCAGTCGGCAGCGTTGCTACCAATGAAACATCTCTTTTTGCAGTGTTCCTGTAATATTAATGCTTGTGGATACTGTAAATAGTCTCTAATCGTGTGGGAACAGGGATGTGCACCGCTGTGTTGTGTAACATCTCGGACTTCGGGCCTACACTGTTTACAAACAGCTCGCACGTCGGACTCGGACACATCAACACATTTTCAGTGACTGTCAATTATTTAATTGAGATCTTATGAACCGTCTGTTGTAGCTTTGTCCTTTCAGAACAGTGCTCTCTATTGTCGGTCACCTTGATTGATCTGCTGCCAAGCCTAACGTTGCCTCCCTCCCGGCTACAGGCCTCGACCATCCGCCGGCTCCTTTCTTTATTGTGGGCTTAAAATGGTTTCATTAAAGATGCACGGATCAGCGGTGACATTCAATTGGGGATGTGACCTTTCGCTGCCTTCCTGCTCTCCTGCGTTTATAAACCTTGCAGTCGAAGGGAAGTGGGAATATTGGTGCATTGCAGTGAGTGTATGAGGCGGATGGGAGGAGGGAGGGGAGGATGGGTGAGTGAGAGAGCGAGACAGACACACGGGGAGGGGAGGCAGCAGGAGAGCAGAACAGGTGCGCCTCCACCATGAAAGCTGGAAAAGAGAGAAAGTCACGATGTTGCACAATCGGCTCCTCTGTCCTTCCTGCTGCTGCTGCATCGGTTTTTATTTACAGCTGGTCAATATTTAGATCCACAGGGCGCATGCTCAGAAGGAAAAGTGACAGTGTGGACATGGATGTCACAATATGACCTGATAAGTCATTCAAATGTCAAGATCCATTCCAGAATACTTCTCCAGCTGAGAGAATTACCAGTGAACTCATCTGTACGGGCTGGTCGTCATCATCAGGGTGACCAATGACTTGTTCAATGATTCAGAGACCTTATCATCCATCTCTGACCATCAATCAGCTGTAGAAAGCATTAATAGTTTAAACCAAAAACCTTTTGGTTTTGGACTATTAGTCAGACTTAAAAATGATTTGTTTTAAGGCTCTGAAACATTTCACAGAGTAATAAAATAATCTAAAGTATGACTGTCAGATTATTAACAATAATGAAAATAACTGTAAACTGCAGCCTCAACCACAGGATCGATATTAAATTTTAATCTAACAACTTCAGATTGAACTGAGGCTGTCACACTGTACTGATATTGATGTTTGAGAGATAAAAAATATGCTTTATGGTTTAATAATAGTTTGATAATTTTGCTGCTCTCATATTTCTTTGACATATACGCTGATCCTGAAACATTAAGAAGCTAAAATCAACCAATTGTTCTCTTCAATCAGACGTCAGTTTTGATTGCCGTGTGATATTTGATTTTGTCAATCTCTCCCAGCGCTGCCTCTCTCTGCTCATGTCAGGGCAGATCTGTTGAGTGATCAGTTCTCCCTTTAATTGGATTTGCTGGTCACTGGCAGCTGCTGCATCGAGCTCAGAAGAATCCTCTTGGAGTAATCTAATGTGGTGTAACTGTACATATAGTGAATTTGGCTCAGGAACATTCACATCCTGAACATCCTGCTTCCAGTGTTTCTGCTCAGTGTTAGTTTAGTTCTCTGCTGTTTTCTTGTTGTTTATGTCGCGCTGTACTTCAGCGTGCTTGGTGAGGCATTTCCCATTTCTGCACAGGTAGATAATGACACTGTGGGCCTTGTTAGGTTTCATTTTTAACGTTAGAATAAAATGTGAAGGTAAATTTGTTCTCCGAATTGTCTTTTTATTTCCTCACCTTCAAATTCATTGTCTCCTGTTTACATTCTCTCCCTCTCCACCTCTGTGTTCCCTCGTATTTTTATCCTCTCTCCTTTGTCTCCTCTACCTCCAGCTGACCTCAGTGACCAACAGATAAAGGATGTGGTTGCACTGAACAGCTAATGTGTAAACTGTATGAATGCCAAGCAGTAATGGGAAAAAGACGAAGCGGAGTCAGCAAAAAAACTTCTCTTAAGTTTTGTTTTTCTTCTCTGTTCCCACAGTGTGTATGAAACCAGGCAATGTCCACCATGGTGTATCCACGCGAAGAAGCCCTGGAGCGACTGAGCCAGGATGAGATCGTCCTTAACACGAAGGCCGTCATGCAGGGACTGGAGACGCTGCGCGGCGAGCACGCCCAGCTCCTCAACTCACTGCTGGACTGCACCCAGCCACCCGTCGCCCAGGAGAAGTCCGGACTGCTCCGCAAGAGTCTGGAAGCCATCGAGCTGGGCCTGGGAGAGGCACAGGTGAGAGACACAATCCTGTGATGAAAAATTAACAGCACAGGTTTCTCATATCTTTAAAGTTTTTGCTAATAAAAGTGTGATTTTTCAACTAAAGTTATATTTCATTTATCTCCAGGTGATCATCGCCCTGTCGAGCCACCTGAGTGCCGTGGAGTCGGAGAAGCAGAAGCTGCGGGCTCAGGTGCGCCGGCTCATCCAGGAGAACCAGTGGCTGCGGGACGAGCTGGCTGGAACGCAGCACAAGCTCCACCGCAGCGAGCAGAGCGTTGCCCAGCTGGAGGAGGAGAAGAAGCACCTGGAGTTCATGAACCAGATCAAGAAGTTTGACGACGACGTGTCGCCCTCGGAGGAGAAGAACCAGAGCGCTGCCGGCAGCGGAGGTGGTGGAAGCGGAGGAGACTCTTCAAAGGACAATCTGGATGATCTGTTCCCCAATGACGATGACCAGGGACCAGGTATGACCACCACAGCAGTGATTAAACCTCAGAGAGATTTTAATAAGATGATACATACACACAGAATTTCAAACAGCTCTGTGGATCCACGGGATGATAGTTTCCTAACCTACAGGTAGCAGGATGTTGTTATGGTTGCTACTGGCCTGTTTTTGCTGCCATATCCATGAGCATGTAAGACAGTTTAGGACTAAAAGACTAAATGATCAATTTACTTAGAAAAAACCCACAATATTAATTAATAATGACATGACTGTAATCAGAAAGTTTAAAACTATAAATATAACTTCTTAGGTTAATTGGTTAAATATCGGCTCACATTTATGTACATAACCCACATCCCAGTTTAAAAGACTGACTTCTGGTAGACGTAGACTACGACAAGAAGAGATAATTGGTCATGCACAAACTATACGCATTTTGCACGGTTGACCTTTCTCCCAATAATAATGAGAAACCACAAACCGTGTCCGATGTATTCATGTAGTAGTATTTTGTTGAAACAGGTTATATAAATGCACATTAAAACCAGTGGATTGTGAAAATGATTACATCTTGAATTTTACATATTTTGCTAATTGTGTGAAACATGGATATTATGTAGATCTGTATTATTATAATCCATATACTGGTGCCATTTATTATACAGGGATTTAGGCAAAGTTACTCTTTTGTATCAGAAAAAAGGAAAAATGTCTGTTTCAGGCAAACAACAATCCCATTAGGTTAAATAATGGCCTTGCCTCACTGTAGCAGGATAAGTGTTTCAGCAGACTGCACAGCTCGCTGTGTATGAAAAGCTTCATAGTCGGAGAGTTTTCTCGAAGCAAGAATTAAGTTGTAGCCTTTTGTTTGTGAACATAAAGCTCTTTAAAAGATAGATATCACATTTCATGGGCCTTTAGGCTTATCTTCAAAAGTCACAGACTCCTTCCTGCAGGGTGCAGAGACGTGACTGCACAGAGAGAGAATCAATGCTGTGTTTATTTAATGTACACAGTGTCAAAAGAAAATCACTCAACTCAGCACAATAGTGCCTTTCACTAACTGAAACGTTAAGGCCTCAGCTGCCCTGAAGCGTGAACTTGAAGAGTCCTATACATGAGGTATTCTCCAGCCTTAGTTTTGACACAAGGAGCTCTTTGTGGCAAATGTACAGTTTACCCATCAAGTGTAGTTTAAAAAAGATGCAGAACTTATGTGAAGCGTCTGTGGTTTGGGTCAGACTGCAGTCACTGTCTACACAGAAGCTCAGGGTTTTAAATGGATCTTTTTCAGTGTCAACAAAGTGAATTAAACTACAAAGAAGGTCACTTGTATTAGTATGTGGAGCTTGTTCAGCTTTTCGCCCCATTAGCTGACAGTAAGTGCTGCAGCACTTGCCTTTTCAATTATTAATGCTTGAATATTCATAGACGATTCTCTGAGGGTCGCTCTCTTAGCTTTCTTTGTACTTACTTTTGAAGTCAAATGCACATTCAACCGCAACATGCAAAAATCTATCTTGTTGACGAGTTGGTTTATTGTCATTAGACCTGCTGTGTCAGTCCTCCTCTTGGACACCACAGGATAAGTGATTTATTAGAAACCTGTGAGCAGAGGGAAGAGCACAACGGAGAGAAACAGAAAGGATGATATGAGAGCAAAAAGCAGCTTTTTAAAGTTCATTCTTTATCCACAAGAAAGAAGAAAAAAATGTACGTTGGATCTTATTCCAAGAATTTATTGGTTTTTTTGGGGGCTACCAAGTGCTGCTGGGTGAGTGCTGATCAGTGGAGCACATTTAACTGAATGTTCTTCCACCTTAACAACTATTTTGATAACTTATCAATTGTATTTTTTTTTTAAAGCAAAATGGGCCTAGTTCTATCTGGTCAAATCTGAAGATGTGCTGTTCTGTCTACTAGAATAAACAAGCAATCTGACAACCTCATCTGAGGCTTTAGGAAATTGTATTGAGGATTTTCCAGGATCTTTAACAGCCTAATGTGATCCTGTGCCCTCCTGTCTGTGGTACAGCTCAGCCCAGTGGAGAGGTGGCAGCCCAGCAGGGAGGCTACGAGATCCCGGCCCGCCTCAGGACTCTGCACAACCTGGTGATCCAGTACGCCTCTGAGGGCAGGTACGAGGTGGCTGTGCCGCTGTGCAAACAAGCCCTGGAGGACCTGGAGAAGACATCTGGACATGACCACCCTGATGTGGCCACCATGCTCAACATCCTGGCCTTGGTGTACAGGTGGGGGACAGAAAGATTCTAGTTTCCTTAACTAGTGGGCGTCAAATAGAAGACTTCAACACAGTGCTGCTGTTGTGTCTTTCAGGGACCAGAACAAATACAAAGAAGCTGCTCATCTTCTGAATGACGCCCTGGCCATCAGAGAGAAGACACTGGGGAAGGACCACCCAGCTGTGGCTGCGACCCTCAACAACCTGGCTGTGCTGTACGGCAAGAGGGGCAAGTACAAGGAGGCCGAACCACTCTGCAAGAGAGCACTGGAGATCAGAGAGAAGGTAAAGACCCACACCACCAAATCAGTGAAATGGACAAAACATTTCCAGTTTTGTTTGCGTTAGTTTGTAACTAAATCTCCTTCACTGTAACACACATATAATCATGCAAATGATGGTGCGAGTATGATTTGTCTTGCAAATTTTTCAGGCTTGACTTTGTGTCCCTGCTGTGTTCAGGTGCTGGGGAAGTACCACCCAGACGTAGCCAAGCAGCTCAACAACCTGGCCCTGCTGTGTCAGAACCAGGGCAAGTACGACGAGGTGGAGTACTACTACAGACGAGCTCTGGAGATCTACGAGTCTAAACTGGGAGCTGACGACCCCAACGTGGCCAAGACCAAAAATAACCTGGTGGGGAATGAACTTGTTCAGTAAAACAGCTACTGGACACTTGATATTGTTCATAACGCTTAAATTCGTGACGGTTTCCAGGCAGGTTTCATTAATGAAGGACTGCCCATGCATCTTGTCTCTCTTTAGGCCACATGCTACCTGAAGCAGGGAAAGTTCAAGGATGCTGAGGCCCTGTACAAAGAGATCCTTACCAGGGCACATGAGAAAGAGTTTGGATCTGTCAATAGTAAGTCGAGTCACCAGGTGAACAGCAGAATCAGACTGAATTGATCCAATTAAACCCTCCTTATGAAAGAATAGCTTATGTGGAGAGGTTTGGTCATGATCCAGGTTTGGATGTAGACGAACATCCACGTTGGCCAAACACATTATCGGCAAAATCTTTAATGTCAAAGAATCGTGTTCGATATATTAATGATTTTATTACAATCAAAATATATTCTGAAGCCTCTTTGTTGGTCAGCCCATTCTGCTGACAGCTGTGTTTTGGGATTCAGTTTTTGATGTAGCCACACCCTGATCCCCGCATCGCTCTGAGTTCTCAGCAGGTCAGAGGATTATTCTGCGATACTGAACCGTGCGAAGCAGCTTAATGTTGATGTCCTCCTCCCCCCCCCTCCGCCTATCCAGTTAAGTCTATCAAACCCTTATGTGCTCACATACTCGGCACGAGAGAGGAGCTTGCTGGGAATTTGGCTTTACACCAGTTGGGTGAGCGGCCACCTTGCATCGTATATGCAGTCACACGTGTTTACACGGACAGAGAGGCTTCACTTTAAAATCTAGGTCAGTTCAGGGATCCATGCTGTTTTCTGGGCTGTTAACTTCAGACTGTTGGTCCACACATGATGTTCTTCCTGAATGCCAGATAGAAGTTGAGTGATTTTTCTTTTGTCCTTATTTTTCAGATGATAATAAGCCAATCTGGATGCATGCAGAGGAGAGAGAGGAGAGCAAGGTCAGTTATTCTGGTTGACCTTTTCCTTTCATGCCATTGGCTGGCAGGCAACACATTATACAAATGGGTTGAAGAGCAAAATAAGGATGATGGAGAACAGCAGAATGCACAAAGGGCAACAGGGACATTTGTGACTTGCTGTTTAATGGAGCAATGTTTCATACTTGGCTTCTCCTGCTTTCTGCCTGTTTTCATCTGAATCTCCCTGTCTTTGTTTTTTCTCTGTATCGCTCTATCGCTGTCTCTCTCAGGGTAAACGTAAGGATTCTGGCCCATATGTGGAGTACGGGAGCTGGTACAAGGCCTGCAAAGTGGACAGGTGAGTCCGACATTTGAATTCATTGACACAACGTTGAATCAGGAAGAATTTTTTTATTATTTTTAAATCCTGAGCCGGGACATCCTAAGCAATTATAGACTCATATTCAACAATAAAGGAAAGTACCTGTACCTATACAGTTTTTAGGTGCTTGTATTTGAGTATTTCCATTTTATACTAATCTATACTTCCACTCCGCTACATTTCAAAAGGGAAATATTGTCATTTCTCCAATACTTTTTTTTTCTTTTTAATATGAAGATTTTACACGATAGGTGATGTAATTAGTTTAAAAAATCCAGCACACTGTTAAGGATTAAACGTTGTCACATTTTAGATGAAAACTATCATACTTTTTGGTAAACTTGTCACATGATTTCATTTCAGTAAACATTTAAATAATCCAATATCTCACCAAAAATCTGTTTTTTCCTCTTTCCTTTGACATTAATCATTTCCTGACCTGTCAAATGTACCTGCTGTCCCTTCATATAAAACTGTATGTAAAGTAGTTCAAACCTGCAGCAGCTTCAACAGTAACAAGCTGCTGATACACTGATGCTTCAGTATTAATAATCTAGTGCTTTATACAATAATATATCAGTGAGAGGGAACAAACCACTACTTTCACTTAAGCAGGCTGTCAGGGTTTTTCTTGCAGGACCTGTGCTTGTATTTTGTACATTGCTGTATTGGTAAATGTAGGCAAGTAAACTATCTGAATACTTCTTCCACCACTAGGAGGTAAAGGACTGATAGATATTTGGCAATGGTCGAATTTCTGTCAGAAAAAAAAAACAAAAAACATTCTATTGACCTTTCTATTGAATATAATTCTTAATTGCTACCTGTACAGTTCGAGTGATCTTCTTCTCATTTGCAAGTTCAGTTACAAGCACTCTGATTTAAATTTTCCATGCTTTTGGAAGAAAGGAAACTGCAACAAAAAAAAGAGACCGTCACCACTAAAAGAAGAGAAAGACAAAGCTCTGTATCTATTTACCATGAAAAGACCCAAGTTAAACCTCATTCTTCTGAGATGCATTATGCTGTAGCAGTGAAATCAATATTTTATGTATCATCAGTGCCCTTAAATTGTAATGAAACCTGGGACACCCTCTAAAAAGATAATCCTGTGTCAGTTTCCAACCACTGGGTTGACAGTGAAAGTCACTGAGTTCCATCCCTTAAGCAGCACCAGAGGTCATCGTTTGCTCTCAGCTGCATTCGGTTTAGCTTTAGGAGCTGTACGCTGCACTTCTAATACAGAGAACTGGCTCTGCTTGGTTTTATTTGTTTAACCTTGATCGATGGAGTTAGTTAATTAAAGCAGCTGGCTGCACACATAAAGTAAATAAAAAGAAACAACATTCTGTGCTTTTTATTTTTATTTAAACAGTCCAACAGTGAACACAACCCTGAAAAGCTTGGGAGCTTTGTACCGTCGCCAAGGCAAACTGGAGGCAGCAGAAACGCTGGAGGAGTGCGCCAGCAAGTCACGCAAACAGGTACAACACAAACACTGTGCAAGGCCGCTGTGTGACTGGTAGAGTTACTGCTGTTAGATTAGTGGCCGGGGCTCTTTTCAGGGGTTTTTCAGTTAAGCAACCTGATTAGTTCAGCAGGCATTCTAGCAGTGATTTGTTAGGCTGTAAACTGTGCTAAAGTGATTTAAAGATCAGTCACCAAGCGAATGTGTGGACATTGCAGTAAAACCAACTTAAAGACTGGACGCATGCTGTGTGAGCTATTGTTTGAAAGCTATCATTTTCTTTCGGGCACCTTCATCACTCTGTTTTTCTGTGTATCATGTGTGTGTGTGTCCCCACTCCCAGGGCATCGATGCCATTAACCAGAGTAAGGTGGTGGAGCTGCTGAAGGACGGAGCAGCTGGAGGCAGCGACAGACGACACAGCAGGGAAGGAATCAACGGACCTGGGGGACAGCGGGGCGAGAATGAGGGTGACGACTCCGCTGAGTGGAACGGGGTGAGGTTCTGGCCATGAATTAATTTAAATTCTAATGAAAGCATTTTACAAATTCATCTTCAGGTAGTGGACAGCACAAGGACAGCATGACCTTGAATTACAGTGTAGATGTGTGACATCAAGGATTATTTCATGTGTTAATGAAGAAATTCTCAGATGTATTTAAACCAAAAGCAAGAGAAAGAAGCGCAGTGACTGTAGCCTGATGAGCCTTAGCAGGAAATGCCTTTCACGTTTATTGTTTTCAGTAAAAAGTTTTTTTTTTTTTTTTTTCCGTCCTCAGGATGGGAACGGGTCTCTGCGTCGCAGCGGCTCCTTCGGGAAGATTCGTGATGCTCTGAGGAGGAGCAGCGAAATGCTGGTGAAGAAACTGCAGGGGAGCGGGCCTCAAGAGCCCCGCAACCCAGGGTAAGATGACTGTTTGTGTGGAAATACGACCTTATAGTCAGTTAGGTTGTAGTCGAGGCTGCAATAATAAGTTCTTTATTGATGTCATTAATCCTAATTCCACAAATTAATGGTCAGAAACTTGAAAATATTAAAATTAATCATAAATGTTGCACAATCTTAAAAATGGCATCACTCCACTGACTTGTACCTTGTTAGCTGAGGGTCATTGGATTTTTCTTAAAATTTCAAACCAGCTGTCACCACTTGACTAATGAAGATTTAGCACAGGAATGTCAAAAATAAATGCATTTTGGCAAGTTAGACTGTGCGGTGCTGCAGTCGTCCCCTGCATAGAGTTACTTTGTCTTAAATCATTAGATTTTTTCTTGAAAGGTCCAGAAAACCCTGGACACGGTGATTAAAAACTGTCAAACTAAATTTAGAATGATTGAAAAAAAGAAATACGAAATAATCTGCCATTTGTTTCAATCTATGAAGCTCAAACCAGTGAGTCTTCAGAGTAATCAGCTGTTTTTTGTTAAGTTTGTCCCCAAGATCTAAAAAAAATTATAACGGCATTGTCTTTGTTTCATACCCAAGTTGTTTCATCCAAGTTCATCTTTTGCTTGTGTTTTTCTGTGCAGAATGAAGCGAGCGAGCTCCCTCAACTTCCTCAACAAGAGCACTGAGGAAACCACACAGGTACTCGTCCCTGCTTTACATTTTATTCATCACAGCACATGATTTATCTCAAGAATGGGCAGCGTGGAACAGCTTCTAAATATATATATATAAAATTTCCTGACGTTCAACAATATCATATGTAATAGCTGAATGTGAATTTCTGTTTAAATCAGTGTTTCAGAGTGGTGTCAGCCTGGTTCTGTATCCTGTCTGTGGAACTGTATGTCTGCAAATCTGCATTTGTTTGAGGATTATTAGCTCTAGAACAGCTCACAACAAGGGCATGTTCAGACTTGATAACAGTATTTGTTCTCATCTCTCACATGTCTCAAATAAAGAGGACGACTTCTGTCCTCAAACAGGCGATTTAGTGGCCGTCAGTTTAAATGTTTTAGGCTGAAAGATCTCCATTATACAGCAGTCTGTTCTGCTGCCTAACCAGTGTGGTGCCAAATGAGATGTAGGTGTTGTATAAATGTTGTCTGCGTATACTTAAGACTGTTATTTTTATGAGCACAGCTGGATGAAAGGTCACAGGTGAATTGTGTTAGTAACTGTTTACCTTCACAAAGTTGGGTGCAAAACGAGTTTCAGTGTAAGTTGAAAATGAAGTATACAGAGTGTTGTCCAACCCACATACTAACTTGACCTGATGTGTGTTCAGGATGCCAACTCTGAGCTGTCAGACTGCAGGGGACTAAGTGCCAGCAACGTGGACCTGTCCAGACGCAGCTCCCTGATCGGATAGACAGAGCGGCGAGGTGGGACTCGGGAGGCACCAAGTGGCCCGACGAGGAGAGGCTGTTAGCAGCTCGGTTTGATCAAACCACACACTTAAAGCTCAAAGCGAGATCAAACACTAGCACCTGCAGCATATTTTCTAAAGAACACTGAAACGAGCATTACCACACTAAACGTCATCCTGTAAGACACAGTCGCTGCTGCTCCGCTGTACAAACCGCCGCCATCGATCAGAACAGAGAATATTTAGATACACATTTATGAGCATGCCGCTTACTAGAAAGTGGAATGTCTGCACCTGAACGCCTCGTGTTTTTGACTCATAGCACCGTAGCAAAGCATCGTATTCACATTGTGACGAGTCGGTTTCTTCAATCCACACTGTCATGTGCAGACACTCAACCTTAGGTAGGCTTAATGTACTCCAGTTTCAGTTCAGAGAGACGCGTTGCACTTTGTATATTTCACCAGTAGCATGAAGTAATGGCTAATGCTAACCATCAACCGAATGCATATCACAGATGGTAAAAAAAAAAAGAAAAAGGTACGATATGCTTAGATTTTAACCGAGAGACAGCAGAGGTACGAAAAGAGAAAACAAGCAATCTTTGGGGATTTTCAACAAGAAACATTAGCACTAACCATTTCAACCTCACTTTTTGCCTTCTTGTTTTTTATGTATATACAGTTTTAAATTATTTCATTCTTTGTATATAGCTCAGATTGATTTCTGTTTTTGTTTACACTTTATTGCGTTAAAGAGGGTCTTTGTTGGAAAAAAAAAATGCTACTTATCTGAAGGGAAGAAACTGGAACTGAAGGAAAAGAAAAGAGGGAGTGAAAAGAAAGCGTTGAAATGAGCACTTAGCTCATCGGGTCAATGAAAATGTCAAAAATGCTGATTAATTTATTACCTCGATCACTGAAATATGCTACCGAGCCATCAAGGTTTCAGTCTAAACTAAAATAATGCACTTTGAGTGTGACAGTACTGTATGTCTGGCAGCCATCTGGGGTGAAAACCACATTCTATTTCAAATGAACTTTCTCGCTGAAAAGATGAAAAAGGGGCCAGAAAACTTGTTTGAACTTAAATGTACAAATAAACCTCAATCATTTGTCTGAAGCCCTTCTAAGACTACCTACAACACGACATTTAATCAGACGCTAAAATCAAAGCTTTCAGGCACCTTTTACCCACTTTAGCCACAAATCTTTTGAATAAAGACAAACTTAAGCGTTCCAGGATTTTACCAAACATCCATAAGTCTTAATGATGTTGAAGAAAAATGATGTTAAAGAAGTATTTCCAATTAATTTGTTTACAATCATTCCAGGCAATCAACCCTCATTTCAAACTTTGGGTAATTATCTTAATTATTTGTTCAAAGCCGATGCAGTGCGTCGGCTACAATATGTTTACTTTCATTATCAAGATTTCTTTTGTGATTTTTGTTTTTTTGTTTTCCTCATTCGCCGTTGCTGAATATGTATCATTTTGTACAATACAATCCTCAGTTTTTAATGCTGACCTGGATTTCATCAGTCACAATCAGACTCTGGCAGAAATCCGACCGATGACCATCCATCCTCAGTGAATTTTGCTGTGCTCATGCGTTTTCTTGTTTTGGCTCCGAGCTTTTATGTTGAAGGTACTGAAAACTGTTTATCTGAATGTTACTTTTAATGTCGAATGTGGGGTCTGGTGGCATTTACACTGGATTGTTGTGATGTGCTTTCAAGTCAGGAGATGAACTCCACCAAAATAAGACCAAGGGAACTGTCCACCGAATGTACACCTCTTGTTACGTTAAGTCGAAGTCAGACTCAGCAGGTGACGTCAGATCCTCAGATTGCTCTTTTTGTTTTGGCTTTCTTCCGTTACTTTTCCTAAAACTTGCTACCAAACCTTGTAATGTAAGAAAGTCAAAAGGTCAACACAACCTGAACGTGATTTCAAAAACGTGAACACGCAGGTTTATTGCGAAGGCATTTCGTCAACGTTGGTGCATGCACACCATCGCCGTACGCCTAAATAAACTGAAGTCGACCTTTTTGAAATCACCTTTGATGAAGTCGCTCTGAGTTTAAAAAGTGCTAATTATCCTATCAGCTTCTGAATGTGCGAGGTGGCGCAGGTTTTGTAACGAAGACAAGCATGCATGAAGGAAAGACGGAGGACGAGCAGGAAGGAGACACAGAAACGTGACTGCAAGTGCTTTGGAAAGACACCGGTGAAGGAAAAGTGCTTTAAGTGTTGTTCGCAGCAAATAATGTACAGAAATATCTGTGTATGACCTTTATATATGTGTTTACTGTTTGTCACTTGTTCACACATGATGATGGGAAACTCCTGAAATCACACACACACACACACACAATCTCAACACAATGTAGCTGTAAAAACAAAAAAAACAAAGTGAATGAAGCACTGATTTGTAGCTGAAGATTCAATAAACATGAGTGCTCCTCTCCAGTATACACACCACCACCATACCAATATTAATCAGTCCTCTATGGTATTAATCACTTCTTCACCCTGGGTTGGTTCAGTATTCGTGCTCTTCTGGAGATAAATGGAAGTTCAGGAATTGCAAACTCCATAAATATATGAACACACTACTTTGCTCATTTGAGACACAAAAAACTGCTTGTAAATATTCATCTTGAATCACTGTTGCAGAAAGATTTTTGATCCAAAGCTTCAAAGATAAATCAGATTATTGTTTCTGTTCAGGGCTTCTTTTTTTTTGTTCAAATATTTATGGAGATCAGTGCATCTACTCGGAGCCACGGAGGGTAAATGTTACACATACGAGGGTCTGGTACACATGTGGGAACTCCTACGGGCAAATGCAGATGATTTAACGGATCTTATTATGACGGGGCCAACCTAATGTGTATTTTATCAAAGGTTCAATAAATACGAATTTCACTTTTCAAACTGATTCTGTGTCTCGTACATTTTCATCTACGCAGCTGCTGCCGAAAATAGTTTCTGTTGTTTCAGTGTGTATGTTTGTAACTTTTCACAGCTCGAGCTTGGGGGTGTTAACCGAACCCTGCAATGGCAAGTCTTCACAGAGGTAAGTGTCTCTCTGTTACTTCCTGTCTCATCAGCAGCCCACAAAAAGGAAACCAGAGTGCATTTTGAAAGTCTGCAACACAATGATCAGATAATCAGCTGTCTCATCGCTGCCACACGATCCTGCAGTTGAGGTGAAAGTTTGGAGCTTGAATGAACCAGGATTAGAAAGTAAGATTGTTTCTATCAAGTTTCATAAAATGCGGTTGAGTTCTTAACATTTTTCAGCTCAGATGTGATGATTTATGTAGTTTAGCTGTGTCCTGATCATATTATGGTAAATAATTCATGTCCTGTTGTAGTTTTTCTCCATTAGTTGGTGTTTGACATCAGTGAATCAGAAGTCTTTTTAGAGGAGCTACTTAAATGTTGCTTGTTATTGTTCCTGCTCCTGAAACCTCATCTGTACTTTCAAACAACAGCTATGAAGTAAGAACTACGTATTTACAACAGGACTGAACCTGGAAAAGTTCCGCAGCAGCTTTTTCTCAATTTTATCAAAACCCCTCATACCAAAATTCCTTTAATAAATCTGTGAATTCGTCCACAGACTGCCTCTCCATGTCCGCGGCGACGCCCTCCAGTCCCACCAGTCCCATGGCGCCAGTATTGGTCCAGTTCAAGCTGGGCCTGTTCAGGGAGGTGGTTCGAGTCCCTGCTGGCAACCTGAGCTACCGCCATGCCCACAGGCTGGCTGCTGAGGTCATAGAGCGCAAGGTAACCTAAACCTTACACACGTTTGTGAATCTCATACGACCAACCTGGAGCTCTGTGAGGATGTTGTCCATCTGATCAGAACATACATCAGCTGAGGCGGTGATTTTACACTTTAGCTTCATATTGTCATTCTCAACCTGTGAGACAGTTGGATAATGTTTTCTCTTGTTGTCTCGAGACCTAACAAACAAATCCAGCCGTGTGACCATTTAGGAGGCAGGAAAGGTCTCACAAAAGATGCTATTGAACTGCATCATGGGAAATATAGGTCCAGGCTTAGACTTTTAGGAGCTTTGGGGCTTCTGAGAATTGAAATTCTCATCTTTAAAAACTAAAACTGCAGAGCTACCGCTTTAAGAAACCAGAGCAGAGTGAGAATTGTGGTTGGAGTTTATTTAAATCCCCTTAAATAGACATTAAAGCAGCACTTGTGGCATCTTTCTCGCTATTGTTAACCCCTTTTTGTCTCGCAGGTAAGCAGGTCAGAGCAAATCAGTTTTTAAAACGCATACAGCTGACTCTGAATGTAACAGTAATGATGGACTTAACACACAGCCGTGAGTCACAAGAGGATAAAAACCTTGACTACTAATAAAATATAAGGTTGGAGGAGGCAGTGAGTGAATGAAAGCACGCTCTAACCATAATGCAGTCCCACTTGGAAAATATTCAGTTGACGTTTCAAGTCTCTCAGACCTCTCAGAATTGAAAGGAAATGGACTCTGAAAGGTCACCTTATGTATGAAGGAGAATTGTGTGGGTTTCTGCGAACAAAGTGTGGCTTTAGACTGCCTGAAGCCGAGTCTGAGGGATGCTGTGGTGGTTTTCTGCTGTATCCAGTTTACGGTAACGCCCGATTTAATCAGAATTTTGACCCTGTTCGGTCAGATGCAAGTTTAACAACAACCTCTGGGGCTTTTCAGAGTTAGTTTTTTGTTTCTTTCATCTCTGTGACATGCCAGGCTCATAGTTTTATGCATTTCTGATTAAAATCTTTTTAGATAATCTACATATAAGCAGGTTAAAACCCTCCTCTTCACAGCCTCCTCCTACCTCCAAACTTTGACACACTTATAAAAAAAAAAAACTTTCTCAGGTGTAGATTAAAATGTAAAACTGCAGGCGGATCCTAAATGGTGCATCGAAAGTTGAGGTTAAATAAAGCAGGTTGTGAATTGCAGGTGTGTGTCGCTGTTGCCTGGCCTGGTCTTCAGAACGCTTCCATTACAGGGACTGTGTGGTCGACGAGAGCACAGAAAACTTTCCGACCACAGCCTCTCCCCTCTGTCTCAAACGCACACTACAACACACACAGACACACGACGGTGTGAGCTGCATCGCACACACTAGCCCTCCTTTCCAACTTTGATCTGCTCTTGAGTTTCCAGGCAGCCGGCCAGCACTGTGTGTTACTTTGTGTGTGTGTGTGAGTGCTCCTGTACTTTTTGTGTGTGTTCACTGTCCACAAACCTGCCTGCATGAGCATGTCACTGCAGTTGTGCCAGATACTGTGTGTGAGTATCACTGCATCTCCAGCACTAGAGCCCCACACTTAGTTCCACCTAACTGGGTCACGCAAAAACTGATTAGAAACTTTACAGATTGAAAACAAAAGTTGCTGCATTTTAGAATCACCCTTTATCCACATTGTGTATTTAATAAGTGTGTAATAACAGGAGCAGAGAATCCTTTTGCTTGTGTACCTGTACGGTCTGATCATATTTTTAGTGCACAGTGTACAATCACACAGGAGTGAAAACTAATTCTACTTCAGTAGTAAAGCTTATCACAGCTGATTTTATTGATCGTTGATGAGCCTTTCTCTTCCTCTGTCCTACTTCACTCACATAAAACACAGGTTCTGTATGAGCAGCATCACTAATCAGCGGAAATGCATCTTAGTTGTGGCGCGTCATTTGTAGTATCTTCAGAACCATTTCTCCTCAATGCGGCACATTTCAGTGTGGTTTGTTTTTTGCTGTAGCGCCACGTGCGGATGTGAATCGTGACTGACAGAATGGCTTTTGTCACTGCGTCCAGTATTTCAGATCGTATCTGTTACTCTGTGAGATCTGTTTGATTGATTGTAGTAGACAGACGTGTTGCGTTTGCTGAAGCTCTCAACAGAATCTGTTGCAGACAGTTTTTTTTAAATCTCTCTACATCTGACTGTGCAGCAGTGACACAATATTTGTAGTAATAATCTGGCGGATACTGGAGTTTTAAGGCCAGTACCTACTTTAAGGGAGAACACAATTCCCATAGATATACTGGTTATTATTCTGTATGTACTGTGTATTTGTTAACTTCCTAGCAGTATATTTCACAAACTAGTTATCAGCTTACCATTGAGAAGTGAAGCAGAAAATATTGTTTCATGTGTTCCTGATTAGCTGCCAAGTCTGTTTTACACGCTGATACTGCAGTTAATAGAAAATAGACTAGACTAGTGTGTTGGTGTTTTTTTTTTACAGAGAATATTTCCCTTTAATGTCACTTTGATTTGGCCAAAAACGAAGGTGATGTCCTTCGTTATGAGACAGCATCAGACCTCAATGGACTGCTTCAATGTCATGTTTAATGTATAAAATTTCAAGTTTAGCAGCTCACAGTTTTGCACAGAAGAAGAGTCATCTAGCGCTTTAAATGCCCCGTTTTATTTGATTTGAGGCTCATATATGTATAAAAGTATTTCCCTATATTGTCTAGAACAGTTACATTGGTGGGACTAAGTACTATTTTACATTTTACATGACTTCACCTTTTGAAATCTGCAGATTAGAGCTTCTTAATTATCAAAAGAACATTGTCGGCATAAAAATGTTTACTTTCTGTATTAAAAGTTCATCAAAAGTTTAAATACATTGTGCATTCCCCCCACCCCCCACCCCCACATTGCTTCTTTCTGCTTTCAGAAAATGTTTTTGTTCCTTCATAAGGAGGAAAAAAATAAAAATAGAATCCCATCACTGCAGCTCTTCAAGGTAATTTAAGTTTATGTTATTGCTTGACTCAACCTGAGAGTGTTTTCGTGTGCTCAGGCTCCAGACTGCAGCGTGGTGGGTGTCGGGGAGAAGATTCTGTTATTCCGACATCAGCCCACATCTGGGCAGCTGCTGCAGCGGCTGACTGACGGAGACGAGCTGATGGATGGAGACCTCATCGAGGTCATCATCTCAGGTTAGAGGTCAAACTGCTGAGGTTTAATCAGCCAGGTGGAGAGTAGAAAACAGACAACCAACAGGTTTATTTTGGGGGGATTATCTGTCCATAACCTACTTTTCTATGATGACTTCATTTGTAGTTTATTCATTCACCTTTTCGAATTACAGATGTTGTAAAACGAAAGGTGAATGTTTTGGAGGAACACTCTGAGTCATTTTACGAAGCAGTAGTTGTGTGCTGAAACATCTTTAAGGACATAACTATTCGTCCTCGACTGTCAGGTTATCTGTGAGCGACAGACTCCTCCATATTATCGGCCAGTAATTCTTTACACCTACAACCTCCACAAAGCTGCACAGTCTCAAAGTGAAGCTTGTGTGTCAGGTGAGGCTCCCTGCTTAAGCCTTCAGCTCAGCACTCGGTCAGAAACTACAAGTCTGCTGCAGAAAAACATCCATAAAGATCACAGGAATAGCAACACACACACAAGCTGGTTTGAATTAATGCGCTTAAACCTGCTTCCTTGTCATTTTGATTGATGGACACATCAGGGAAACGGTTAGAGTCTAAATATACTTCACATCCTACAGTGCCATTGAAAAAAAAATAAATAGCATGAAATAGTTCCTGAAATTGCACATATTTTAACCCTATATTTTACACTAGATTCTCATACATTTGGCTTTTTCCTCGCAAAAGTGGTTACTGCATGTCAGAAAATTATTTTTTAAAAAGTTACTGCAGCAGATTACCCCATGTCAGGTAACTTTGAGTCTTAGAGGAGATGTTTTAAATGTGCACAAATGTTGAAATAAGTCGAGTTTCAGGATCAGAAAAGAACAAAATTAGTCATTTCAGATTCTAATATCATACGTATTCTGTCTCTTCTTTTTTTTTTTTTTCTGACTCAGGATCAGCCTCCGTGACTGAGATGAGGATCTATCCTCACTCGCTGGTGGTCCAGTCGTACCGGACTCCCAC